CATACGCCTATTTGCCTAAAATTTTATTTTGTATCTAATGGAAAAAAAATTTTTTTTTCTTACTGATGTTATAGATTAGAGCAAAGTGAAATCATTGCTTAAATAATTGGAAAAAGGCGTAAGCGGCAGTTTCGCCCTTATACGTAGGAGCCATCGTTATGGCTCTCGCGGAAACTTTTATTTACAAATCATTAATATATATGGTATAGAAATTAACTAAGAATTAAAAAATAAATTGTCTTTTTTTCAGTGGACATCAGCACTGGATCCAGCCTTGACCCCAATCAAATCTACAGAAAATATTCAGTGCTATGAAAACAAGAAAAAATCACAGAAGCAAATCAAGCTTAAAATTCATAATAATACAATGTTAAATATGTGTAGTTTGGATTTCCAACACACTGTTATCCTGATGTGTGCTATGTACATTTAATTTTAATACTGTTAATGGAGTCTTGTAAACAAAATCTGATCTTAGCACTATCATAATTTATAAAAAGTATAACTTTTAACATATTAACTTATTAAATTGACTTATAGATTAATCTATTTTTCAGTTATTGCATTTTGTGCTAAGGTACAGACATTTGTAACTGTTTGTATCATATTGGAGTGTTTTGTCAACATTTAAATGGCACATTTTGTGTCTGTTATCATCTAACTCAGTGCCCTACTACATATTTATATTGATTAGGTACGCTATGTATCCAATGAAAATCTTGCTATGGAGGAATCTTATATTTATTATATTTGATGTTGTCATCTTGTCATAGCTTTAATGGTTGCATAGTTGATACAATGGAGTATCTAATCATTTGTTTAAAGGCTTAAACATTCCAAGAGACCTGATTCAGTTTTGTGAAAGCTTTCATTGGTTTTTTAAAAGCAATAGCCTGTGCTTAACGTATAGTGTACATAAATTTTGATTGTTTTTCACCAAGAGACAATTTAGTATTTTATAGTTGAATTTACACAATTGTCATAGTAATTAGTTAAATAAAATATTTTTCGAATTGATGACTGTAACTTAGCATTTCATTTCAATATGTATTTCACTCTTTTTCATGTCTGTCTCTTCTTGGAAAATTTTCTATGAATATTGGTTTGGCATATTAAAATCATAATAACCCCATTTAAAATTGTTGGAGAAAAATTTATTACTTCCAATTATTGTAAATATTAGTTTGCTTTCCTGTTTGCTAATTTATTGTACTTGTAAATTCATATCCCTATATATTAAACTTAACTATAGGTGTTGATGTGAATGCCATAGAATATGTTGGAACATCATTGTTGGACCTCGGAGTCGGCGAACTCTTGGCACAAAGTCATGTGTACACTTGGAACAAAACGATTGAGAAAGTATTATATCAGTCATCATAAGTACCATTTACTGATGTAATTTCTAAGTTAAATATACTTTATTTGTGCAAATGTAGATATTATGTATGTTGATGAATAAATAGATAAAAGTTAGTTGTTGTTATTTATGCTTACCCACACTCCTGTTATGGTAGTAATAGAAAGAAAGGGGAATTACATTCAGTGTAATTGATTTCGTCGCTGGGAATATTAACTTAGGACAATTCACTAGCCCCGTAACAGAAATAAAATTTAAATTCTACATTTCAATTTCTGCCCGGCCGGGAATCGAACCCGGGACCTCTCGGCCGATGATTATGCTATGCTAGACTCGAAAGAGAAAGTATGGTTTTATAATGTTTTCACCATCAATCCCTAATTTTTAAGTGACCCCTATGAAAACAAAATTATTGTTGTGTTACCATAGGGGTCACTTAAAAATTAGGGATTGATGGTGGCATTAGCCTCGTATCCACTAGAGAAGCTTCAGGCCGAGCCTGCCACTAGTGGCCTCTGGCTTTATGCACATTGTCCCACAGGCTGGCAGGCCACAGCCCACTGCACTGGCTGTCATAATTATGTGTGACGTCATACTTACGGGAAATGGAATATCGCGCTCGAATTAGTCGCTAGTAGTCCACTACTATTCCTTCATTTTTAAGTGACCCTTTGAAAACAAAATTCCTGTTACCATAGGGGTCACTTAAAAATTAGGGATTGTTGGTGAAAACGGGCATAGGACTACTAGAGCGCACATTTTCAGCAGTTGCTCAACGGGAAAATCACGAAGAGCAGGTGTAGATGTTGATGTTGTTGAATGTCTATGGAATTTCATTTGCTTCAGTTATTTTTAATTCTTATTTGATTGAATATCTTGGAGTGTACTTCACTGATGCCTCTTATAAAGAGTGAAGAAAAGCAATTAGCGCTTCAGGGGCACTCATATTATACCTATTACTTATTTGAAAAAAAAAAAAAACTGGAACAAAAACTAATACAGGATTTATTTAATAAAGGATTTATGAACTATAATAATAATAAAAGATTTATGAAGGACGTGTTTAAGTGCCCTGGAAAGGGCCTATGTACTGAATAAAATATTTGAATTTGAATTATGGGATAAAAGAAATAATAGTCAACATAATATTTTAGCAATAAAATAATTTATTTCAATACAAACAATTCAGATGTCACCTTTCTTTCACATTTCATATAGGTATTTAAGAAATATTGGTACCTACAAAAATGAGCACATTTTTATCACAAAACGGATTGTAAAGAAAAATTTAAGATGACCTATCACAAGACTGAAGGAATCACAAATAATATTCTAATACATTTAAAGCATAATTTGAAGCAAGATGCCCGGAATTTTCGTATTATACCCGTTAAATTAGATACCTACTGCTGATTAGGAAAAAGGATCTTACAAGGTTAAATGTTTGAACCAGTATTATTCCTACTTCAGAATTGGATTTGTCATTTTTTCGTAGTATTACATTACTATACAATAATTATCTTATTTTTAGACTGTAAGTATTTTTTACTCATTATTGAAATGGGAAAGTAGTTTATGAGTTGGTTTTTAAGATTTTCCTACTTCTGACCACTTATTCAACCTACAATTTGCTGTAAGTCTGTATAATTTACCAAGTCGAATACCTTATTATTAAACTCATAATGTACAAAAATTATGGCAATGTGTCACCTACAGAGATACCTAAATAAAGCTTCTTTCTTACTATCTACTTTCTTTTAAGCTACAAAGTGTAAAAATCTATTTATTTACAAAATAGGTGGACTCTTCGTTAAAACGCTGAAAATGCACACAACACTCTTATGTACAAACATAAAACTGCCCCCCAAGCCCCCAACCAGAGCAAACGCTATAGTGATCATCGTCAACCTATTGAAAAAATCTATAATTGTAGGTATTTCACACAGGTTAAGAAGAGTCCCCATTTTACTAAATCCATCGTGATGTGATGATGGGACTAAAAATACATACTATCTAACATTTTCCTTTCCCATGTGAAACGATAACTCTGGAACGTTCTGGAAAATCACTATAGCCTTTATCCCATACAATATGATTTTCTATTCTATTTGCTTGGAACCCCTAGTTCGGAAATTAAATCTTATTTTTTAAAAACTACATAATGTAACCTAATTGTTTTCCTTCTTTATTTAATTCCTCAAGTCAATTTTTTCGGTACCTTTCTGAATATAAACAACTTGGTTTATTACAAACACTAGGTTTTAATTTATCTGTTTTGGTTTCTTAATATAAAAATAGTTTCATGTAATTAATGCTTTCAATATAATATAAACGAATCATATATCATGCATACCTACTCGTATGTAATATCTCAAATACAATAAATAAACATGAGTCTTTAATCGACATAGTGATCTTATTATTTTCTGTAAAAATTGATTACTCTGTAATGAAGAAAACAGAATTAAATTAAAGTAATTAAGACCATGGTAGTTATGACTTATTATTTTAATTAATAGAAAGTATGTACGATCTAGCAATACAAGTTTAATAAATAAATAAATGAACAACGCAGACTATTGATGTTATCACTATGACGATTAAAGTATGAAAAAATTTAAGTCACTTCTTTATACAGTGAACTTTTAATGCCTTAGGGCTGATTTTTCAATCGTCGGATAACTTTTAACTGAAGAATAAGTTTGACACATTGACAGTTTCAGTATGGGAAATATGTCAACATGACAAGTTTATTCTGCAGATAAAAGATATCTGACGATTGAAAAATCAGCCCTTAATTAATCAATAACTTGACTATTTACACATAACTCGACTGACTTTGGATGCCATTCCTTTCTTTCTCTAAATAAGAACACCATGTATTTAAAATACGCATAATGTATAATTTTATTTTGCACTTGTCCCGGTAAATACGCCTCTTAGGACCTCCTAACGGCAGCGCAGAAGTCAGAAATGTGTCCCCAATAGCGTTGTGTTGCGATATATTCGGGACGTCCCATTATACAAAAGTCCCAATTTCTCCTTAGTTTTTAATATCGTTAATTTTAATCGCTTTTGTCGTTGAAGCATTTAACACTGGCAATACTAAATTATATTAAGTAGTCCATGGAATTGGAAATACTAATTCCAACGTGAAATCATGCAATTATGCAAAACACATCCACAATGGTTTGTAATGTAAAGAACTTAAAAATACTATTATAAATTATCATTTTCTCACATACAAAAAAATTATGTATCACACCACAACCCACAATGGGACTTCCCACGATACCGCGCGGAGGCACAAACATTCAATTCATTTTAGTCTAATCAATTAAACTTCTAACAGATGGCGCTATTAAACCATAGGCAAGGAGCATTCAAGCTATACTTGCATACATTTTTGTCATTTCACAAAATTTTTATTTCTACATAATCTAAGGAATGTGAATAGTTAACTAAAATGTCCAAAATTTAAGCAATATACAAATTAGATTACACAAGTTGAAATAAATAGCATTTACTTCTAAACTATGGCAGTGGATTACTGATGTAAAAGACAGTCTTGCAGAAAATTAACGCTAGACACTTAAATTAAATACAATAATATAATATTACACAGTAAAATCAATTAACTAATTGAGATTCATTGGAAATCTTGTACATTCACACGTTTATTGTAAATAATTCACACTCTTGTTTCAGCGTCGTCTTCAGTAGTAGATTTCCTGGGGAATAAAAAATAGAAATAAGTGATTTTTTTAACTATAAAAATATTAACAATGTTCCATTTTTATGATGAATTATTTCAACTAAGCGATATGATAACTTAGTTCTTCTTTCGGCCGCTAGGACTAAGTATTTTGGTATTTGGTGCCACTTCAGAAGTTATGTTATGACTGACTGATCTGTATGTTTTAACTGTAAGTACAAAAACCACACTTATGTATGTGGAAAATACTAAATTTTCATAGTCATTAGTCGGCCGTTTGGTGTAGTGGTTCGAACGGACTACTATTTCGGAGGTAGCGGGTTCGATTCCCGCACAGTACCTACAAACATTTGTGTGCATGAACATATTTGTTTGTATTGGACTGGGTGTTTTCTATGTATAATAAGTATGTATTTACAAAAAAAAAGTATTTAAGTATGTTTATATCCGTTGTCTAGTACCCATAGTACAAGCTTTGCTTAGTTTGGGACTAGAAGCGCAGTGTAAAATGTCTAAGGATATTTATTTATTATTTATTTCATGTCATGTAAACCAGAGGCGTGGTGGTGACGTCGAGGCACGTGATTGTGTGATAAGCGTGATGATGCCTACTTAGCACACAAATCTCTTGCGGCCATTCTGTCTGTTCATGACCAAAGATAAAGACTATTATCTAATATTTAGTCTTGTTATACATTACTTAATAGTTTTTAAACACATTTATTTATGAAAGTTAACGTTATTTTGTGTACATAAGTACAGAGTGATGTTTTTTTGTGTGTGAGTATGGCCATATTCGAAATTCAAATGGAAATTAATTAAAAAAGAAATGAAAGGACACAAGAAGAGAATTTCTGAGAGAAAGTGACTTTTATGCTAGTGAAAGAACATCTTTCGACCCATAGGCCCATTAACATGTTCAGTTAAGATTATATTTAAGTAGTTAGTCCCTGAATGTAACACTTATCGAAATAACATACAATAAGTAGGTATACTTAAAAAGTGACGTCATGCAGAAAACTATTTACCTCCTCTCTAAGATGTTGATGACATGGCGCGACACCACCGGTTAGCAAAGCAAAAGATGATTACAATGAGTGTTTCTCATACAACCGCCACCATCTATAGACAATTTAGCATTAAAGGTGTTTTAAAAATTGATAATTAATTAAATAATTGAATAAGTTAAAATTGGTATAAGCACCTCTAAGATTTATGACCAAAAGTAGACGTGACGTCATGCGAGTCAAGAAGTAATTTTAAGGATGATTGATTTTTTCAGCTACTGAATTATGGTTTTTCACACTATTACAAAGCGCTTAAATCAATTTTAATTATCCGCATAAATAGAACCCTTAAAAATTCAATAAAATTGAAATTAGTCGTTTTCGAAACAAGTTCAGAAAATTGTATTTAAACTTCAACATGCAACCATGCAAATGACGAATTAAAAGTAATAGTTTTTTTTTAAATTATATTCATATACTCACTCGCTAGTCTCACCCATACTCGCTAGCGGCGCTCCCATTTGTTGTTGAGGTTCACCTGGATAAATTACAAAGACGATGTAACTAAAGAATAGGCTTTATCCGGTTCGAAGGACCATTCGTTTGTCGGGGATTTCTTTGAGGATTTTGTGGTCTGGAACTTGAACCCAGTATTTTGGAGAAACACAGCTCAGTGCTCCATCTGATATTTACACAATGATTATAGGAAGTTTAATGTATAAAAGACACACAAATAAGAAATATGTCTCTTTCTAAGGATTAGTGCACGGTGTGTTTTATCTGTTACAGAAGGGCTTTCATTGTTATTAAATAACATAAAATATAGATCGCACCAAAAGTCTTCTGCATTTTTAGTAATGATTAAAGCCGAATAAATCAGTAGGCCTAAGATGCGCGCCGCGATAAGCGGTTATCACGCCATTTTATAGATTTTCCCCATACATTTTGACGTCGATAAAAGTTATCGCGGCGCGCATCTTAGGCCTACAGGGCATGTTTAAGTCTTTCACTTTAAAATTAAAGTTATGCTAAATCAGTATTAATTTGCAAGTATACCAAAGAGTATTGGTGCAGACTATACACGTAAAAAAGGTTGCAAAAGAAAAAAAATAAAAAGTGCCAGGCGTTACCTGCGTGCGCTAGGTCACTACGCGAGGGCTGGGCGCCGCGCAAGCTCGCGTGGTCCTCCTCCGCTAGCAAGCAAAACGAACGGTGAGGACGCGTATTTTTTAAATATACTGGTCATCACAAAAATCCCACTACGTTTTACAGGAAAACTCGTTTCTACTGACACAATCATGGTGCCCCAACAATATTGGTGTTATTTGAAAGCCCAATAAATATCCTTAAAGAAAAACACATTTAATTTCTTGATAAACGATTAACATAAACGCGATATACAATAAATGTGACTTGAAAAAAGACCTCACTTTGGGCTCACCTCTGGGATAAAACCAAATAATGATCTCACGTGTCCTCTTTAACAGATGGATAGCGATTAATCCCAACTTAACAGTTTTATAGCCATAAAAGTTGGCTCATGCGTAACTACCTATTTTTTGAAGAAGTGACTGGATTCTTCTACAGATACATTTTTGGGGTAAAAACCTTTCCTTTAATGAAATGAAGTTTAGAACTAGGCTTTTAAATGGTGCCAGTATTGGTGGGAAGTGGGGATGCATACGTTTGAAAGTGCTTGTCGCGGGAGGGTCGATTTTTATGATGACCAGTGTAGATCTTCTTCGCATACGTATTTCAACATAGGATGTGTGCGATTCCACATTGGAATTCGAATACTTCAAAAATACGCCTCCTGATAAGCTGGCATCACAGACTAGAATCAGAGTAAATACAAATGAGTAGGTCATCTTCATATAGGAACGTTCGCACGGGCGCGGTTTGCATGTGAGCGCGCCAACAGTTTTGTCAGTGTGTGCGTATACGTATATTGGCGCGCTCACATACAAACCGCGCTCGGTGCGTTTCTATAAAGATGACCTACTCATTTGTATTTACTCTGCTAGAATCGAGCAAATAAGCTCTGAATTTACTGGGCTTTGAGGATCACGATGCTGCTTGTCATTGTGTAAAAAAATTCAACCTGTGTGCTCTGGGTCCGATAGTAACAAATCGAAAATGACTTTATGTGCACAGTATTCCAGTCTTATTTGCTTGATGCATTAAGTATGGGCTGCAACACCTGCATGTTAGGTGAACCATAAAACACTGCAATGTCAGTTTAAGTCCAATTTTAATGAGGCTCACTCGAATTCAAGTATTGAAGATAGGTGTAGGTACACATTAATCAGAGTAATAAATTAACTCCATGAATGAACAGAGCGTATTGAGTAGCGTCCTGCGTTCCCACATCATTGCCCAATACAATCAACAATAGAAAACAATAGTTATACTGTTCCTTGTATGTATCGGCGGCTGAGCCCGCCAGTTTTGTTTTAGTCGCAAATACACCTTTAAAGAAATCACATGTTTTACTGTTCCAACCTTCTGACGTACGTTTTGTGGACATTACTTATAAAGTGACAACAACAATAATATACCTGAACATAACGTATATTAATATAATTACGTACATCGGGTATTAATAAACGTACAATAGGCAAAAAGTATGTATGTACACGGTTTGGCCTAGTAGGTATAAAGCTTTGGGGTAAAACGTATAATAATAACCAAAATTAACAACAATTTTAGGTTTAAAACAGCTGCAAGTAACAGCAACAAATTAACAACAAAACAATTGCAAAATCCAAATAAATAACACAAAATCAACGTGCTCACACATTATTATAACACAAAAAAATATAAAACTTGATAATTCTTACCTGTATACGGGAACAGGTATTTATCATGAGGGTGATGTTTGTCTGACCCATCAGACATCCTCTCATTGTAATCCTGGCCGTAATGACTATCCATTTTCCTCTGGTAGTCGTTCTTCAACATAGTAGCGATCCCGGAATCCCTAAAATCCCTGGGGGGATACCCGTCGTGCTCCCTTGTGGATACCCCCGAATCCCTGAAGTCCCTTGACCCGTAGACGTTGGTGTCAGTATTTAGGTATTTGGTAGGGCTGTAGCCGTAGTCTGACGTTCTTGATGAGAGGTAGGTCTTGGATCCGTAAGGGTTTCCCGCCAAACGGTACATCGTGGGAGACATTGGATAGTTGGGGTCGTAAGGAACTTGCTTCTCGCCGTCGTTCGGTAGAACGCCGTACATAAGCTCGTCTTCTAGCCCGTATCTGTTGCGAAAAATAGAAATGGTTTCTGTTAATGATGATTTGAAATGGTGTTAAAGAGTACAAGTGTTACTCTTTAAGTCTTTGTTCTGATAAGTCTTTACAATTTTACATCAGAACAGCAGAAAAGATTATTCAAATCAAATTTCTTTATTTGCGTAATTCCAGGTTCATAAGTGGTCTTACATGGACAGATTAACGAGGCCATCCCGTTCAGTTCTATTCTGTCCTCAAAACCTTCCGAGTTGTAATTTGCCTTGGCTAGTTAGTTACTTGTTTTATGAAGCGCAGTCTGGAAACTTCTACTCAGTCACCCAAAACGGACTTGAGAAGTTTCTCACTCATCTGTTATGGAGTAAGCAACCTAGAAATTGACCACGTTAACACGGTGGCGGCCGAGCTGGTACACGTCTGAAGTCAGATCCGGGTTGGGAAGAGGATTAGGGGAGGGCGAGGCCATCCCGTTCATTGCTTCGTTGTCCGCAAAACCTTCCGAGTTGTACTACTTACAAGCAGCAGTCTAGAACCTTCCACTCTGGCCACGCAATACCTGTTATCGAGCTAGCAACCTAAAAACTTCCACGATGGTCACGCGATACTGTCTGGTTCTCACCTGTTGTAGATGTAACAATACTCTCACTTGGCTGGTTCTCACCTGTTATCCAGCGGCAGTCTGGAAGCTTCCACGCTGGCCACATAAGTATCATGCACGTTCTCCAGTATGGAGGGCTTGGCTCGTTGCGGGCGAGCTAGTACAGTCTGGGCTATTTATTCCAAAACGCTGTTTACGTAGTTTCGGATCGTCTGTCACCGTCGCTCATGCTGCATTCTCGATTTGCGTGAGAGGGATGGCAACATTCAAAGCAATTGATAACGTTTTCCGGAGTAACCCCGCGGGTTCGGAAGAAGATTGGGGAATGGTGAGGTCATCCCGATCAGTGCCTAGTTGTCCGCGGAATCCTCAAAGTACTTGGCTGTTTCTCACCTGTTATCCAGCGGCAGTCTGGAAGCTTCCACGCTGGCCACGTAAGTATCGTGAACGTTCTCCAGTATGGAGGGCTTGGCGCGGTGGCGGCCGAGCTGGTACACGTCTGACGTGAGACGCTGTTTACGTAGGTTCGAGTCTGTCTGTCACCGTCGCTCATGTTGGCATCTCGCTTTGCGTGAGAGGGATGGCAACATTTTTCGGAGTAACTCCGCGAGTTTGGAAGAAGACTGAGGGAGGGTGAGGCAATACCATTCAGTGCGTCGTTGTCTATGGAACCCTCTAAGGTCTATATTTACTTGGCTGATTCTTACCTGTTATCCAGCGGTAGTCTGGATGCTTCCACGCTGGCCACGTAAGTATCGTGCACATTTTCCAGTATGGAGGGCTTGGCGCGGTGGCGGCCGAGCTGGTACACGTCTGACGTCAGATCCGGGTTTGGAAGCGGGTTGGGGGAGGGCGAGGCCATCCCGTTCAGTGTTTCGTTGTCCGCGAAGAACCCTCCAAGTTGTACTTTCACTTGGCTAGTTTACGAGCAGAAGTCTAGAAGCTTCCACCCTGGCCACGCAAAACCGTCACCTGTTATTGAACTAGTAATCTAGAATCATCCACGATGACCATGCGATACACACTTGTCTGGTTTCTCACCTGTTATCTAGCGGCAGTTAAGAAGCTTCCACACTGGCCACAGCACAAATATTCTCCAGTATGGAGGGCTTAGCGCAGGTAGTCGAGCTGTGTGTGAGGTCTGGCAAAGCTACGTTTCGGGTCATCTGTCACCGTCTCTCATGCTGTCATCTGGTTTTGCGTGAAAGGGATAGCAATAATAACGTTTTTCGGGGTAACCCCGGGTTCGGAAGATTGGAGGAGGACCATGCCATACCGTTCAGTGTCTCGTTGTCTATGGAACCCTCTAATGTCTATACATATTTACTTGGCTGGTTCTTACCTAGAATGTCGCGTTGAGATCTGCATTTCTATATTTTGTTTCTCACCTGTTATCCAGCGGCAGTCTGGAAGCTTCCACGCTAGCTACATAGGTATCGTGCAAATTTTCCAGTATGGAGGGCTTGGCGCGGTGGCGGCCGAGCTGGTACACGTCTGACGTGAGACGCTGTTTACGTAGGTTTGGGTCTGTCTGTCACCGTCGCTCATGCTGGCATCTCACTTTGCGTGAGAGGGATGGCAACATTTTTCGGAGTAACTCCGCGAGTTTGGAAGAAGACTGGGGGAGGGTAAGGCAATACCATTCAGTGCCTCGTTGTCTGTGGAACCCTCTAAGGTCTATATTTACTTGGCTGATTCTCACCTGTTATCGAGCGGCAGTCTGGAAGCTTCAACGCTGGCTACGTAAGTATCGTGCACATTTTCCAGTATGGAGGGCTTGGCGCGGTGGCGGCCGAGCTGGTACACGTCTGAAGTCAGGTCCGGGTTTGGAAGTGGATTGGGTGAAGGCGAAGCCATCCCGTTCAGTGCTTCGTTGTCGGAGCCGGTCTCTTGGGACCACCGGCCCATTTCTGGACGGTTTCCTTCTGTTTGAAAAGCATAAAGTTTAAATTTGCTGACGAGGAAAGGAAAAATACATTAGGATTTTTAACAATTATGATGAATTAATGTTAGAAGTAATGTATGTATGTATCTCAAGCGGGAAATTGGTCAAGACGTAATAGTGTGAACACAATCTCGATAACTTTCTCCTGTCTTCTCGCGTGCGTCACTCATACTTCGATGTGCGGACTAGTGCTTCGTCCGCCATTAGCTACCAAGAGTGCCGTGTGGTGACGGCAGAGTAGAATACATTTGTCACCAACCCCTACTCTTCCCGCGGGTGTCGTAAGAGGCGACTTAGGGTCCACACATCAAACAGAGAACGGGCAGCAGCGCTCTCTGAAAAACATCAATCTTTTAAACTGCGATCTCCAACCCGCCTGCCAAGCGTGGGGATTATGGCAAAACCCTCCACTATAGTGGAGGAGGCTCATAGTCCAGCAGTGGACTGTAAAGGGCTGTTGATGATGATGATGATGAACATAAGCTTCAAAATGTACCTTCTCTTATATGAGGTTGCCATCGCGGCGTGATGCCCAAAGGAGCCCCTTCGGTGATATTTGGTAAAAAGCCTCCACCGTTCCCGCTCGTTCCTCGATCCCCTACAAAAAAGTTATAATTAAATATTGAATCAAGACGAATAGTGTATTGTGATGCATTCTGCTTCATAAGACTGATGCCCGTTTTCACCATCAATCCCTAATTTTGAAGAGACCCCTATGAAAACAAAATGCCTATTATATGTTACCATACGGGTCACTTGAAAATTAGGGATTGATGGTGAAAACGGGCATGAGTCTGAGATACTGACTGACTTATTTTATAAGTGGCTGGCGCAGCCGCCATTAGACTAGTTGCTGGGTTTCATGTTGACTCTGTATAGGTCGCGCAACGAGAGTTGAGTCTTGTGTAGTCGTACTGACAAGTTTAGTGCTTTCTCTCTCGCTTGTAGACATTTATCAAGTGCGTGGTAGCTAGTGTTATTTGAACTTGATTGGGTAATGTGTTGTTTTTTTTGTGAGTGTGAGTACGTGTTCGCCTCAACTTTCGTTGAGCGACCTACAAATCAAGTTGTTTGAGGGACCTAATCATCGATCAACATGGAAATCATTGGGAGCCTATGTTCATCAGTGTGCTGCGCTTACGCTGCGCGGAAATTATCCAAGTCAAGTCAAAAAAACAGTGGGGTGGGGATGAAAAATGAATGAATTTCATCCCCACTCCTCTGTTTTTTTGACTTGACTCGGCTAATTTCCGCATAGTGTAAATCCGCCAGTGGACATCCTATGGCTGAAATGATGATGATGTGGCTACTCACTGGCGACAGAAGGTGGGTGGCTGGCGCGGCGGCCACTGGTCTCGTCATCGTCAGAGGAGTGGCTTGAAGCTAAGTCCAGGCTGCGGTCGCTTCCATCGCTGTCGCTATCGGTGGCTTCGGTAGCCTCTTCGCCGGTTTCTGCTGTGGTCTCGCCGTCTGTGGCCGCTTTGCGCCGACGACGGCCTTGGTCTAAGTGATAGATAGAGCAAAGAAGTCCATTACTTTCTAATGAACATCGGTCTGTTATTCTAATGTAAAAATGCACCAGCAGGAACAATAAACTTGTGAATGTAATGGCGATATTTGTGGCATGAAAAAATTTAGGTGCAAACCAAGTGGCAGGCGAACGCGTTTAGAACGGACAAAAAGTAGGAACAGTCTGACAAGATGGCTGGCTGACCCGTGCGTCATCGAAACTAGCAATAATTAAGTTTTTCGCGTAAGATATTTAGACTTTAAACAAGATTTATCAATGATAGATTCATGATACACAGTATATTGGTTATACTACTTACCGTCTTTTCTGGTGTGTAGTGAGGAGTCAAACCCTCTGAGATAGGCCGGCATGTCACTTGCGCTGGTATTATAATTTGACGTCGACGTACTCGTGTGACGCAGTTGGCCGTCGCTGCGACTAAATTAAAAGAAAATTGTGGTTGTATTGCTGTTCTTGAATTTTTCAACAATGTGATTCACGCCCGTATTCACAAACATTACTATGGGGTCTCACAGTCCGCGTGGACATACAGCGTGACACACGAACCAATCACAGAGCTCTATTCAAAACTGTGCGTTCGATTTGCTGCTTCACTTAAGCAAGTATCGTTTGTGAATACGGGTAAAAGATTAATGGGAAAAATAACAATACCTGTAAGGACTAGAACTAGTCTTAGTAGTGGATCTAGAGGTGGTGGACGAAGCAGAGATGCCAATGTTTCGCAATTGCCGGCCGGGCTCAGTGCTGCTGTGGTACGCTAGAGCTGACCTGAGAATAATTATAAAGCATTTTAGTTTATAACATCAAGATTAAGCATACTAAAAAGACCACAGCTTAGATGATTATTCAGTTTTTTTTTTATTAAAATTTTCTTTGAACAAGCAACTAAAAAAAGTGTCTGACATACCTGTTGACCTGTGACAGGTTCTGTGCACTGCTGCTGACTATGACCGAAGTGTCAGCGAGGGGAACTTTCTTTCCCAGACATCTCAGCATCGTTCTAGAAAAACAGTAATTTCATTATTATAAAGAAAAATCTTACTAAAATCTCAATCCTATGTGGACGACCTCTTTTTAAGGTTGTTTAGGTACATGAAAGGTTTACAAGACCTTATCGTGCAGAAAACTAAATAGTCTAAGAGTCCCCCCAAAGTCCGGGATCTAAAAAAATGTTTTTGTCGGGGCTACATGTTAACTAGGAGCAAAAGTGTTTACCCAGACTGGTGACCAGACTTTTTTCATACTTAGGAATAGGCTACTCTAGCTGAAGTTGAGAACAACACTTGTGAATACTTTATACTTTACCTGTGCAAATTGTCTCTCGCTCGCACATTGAACGCGATCAGGCCCAACGCCGACGCAGCCGCGTGTAATGTGATGGCCCCCGCGAGAATCGAACTCAGCATCCCTCGCCGGGCGCCCGTCTCGCTGCCCAGCACCAGAGCGCTGGCCCATGCCGCCGTTAGGAGAGGCAGGCAGATTACGCTCACAGCTAGAAGCATCCTGTTGTGGTGTACCAAAGTTTGAATTAGTTACAGTCTTAAAAATTATATTTGGCATCATTATTCATTCATCATCAACATCTTCTCAGCCATAGGACGTCAACTGCTGCACATAGGCCTCCCCCAATGCTTTCCATGCTACCCGGTTGGTAGCGGCCTGTGTCCAGCGCCTTCCTGCTACCTTTATGATGTCGTCATTATTCATTACTATTCGTTAATGGTATTTTTGTGGAACTTAAATGTTATTACTTCTCCCTTATCGCGCTAGAAGCTACCCACGTATCTATTAAACACTATCGCGTATAACTTTATTACTAAGAAGTAGGTATAGTCTTTACATCAGAATAGAGGCAGTATGTAATTTCGCGAAATAAGCTTTTATGCCGTGTGGTGACGGCAGAGTAGAATACATTTGTCACACTCTTCCCGCGGATGTCGTAAGAGGCGACTTAGGGACTACACATCAAACAAAGAACGGGCAGCAGCGCTCTCTGAAAAACATCAATATTTTAAACTGCGATCTCCAACCCGCCTGCCAAGCGTGGGGATTATGGCAAAACCCTTCACTATAGTGAAGGAGGCTCATAGTCCAGCAGTGGACTGTTAAGGGCTGTTAATGATGATGAAACTTTTATGTGAATAGAAATTTCCGTCAAGTGAGATGCATATCAATAGCTTCCTTGTTGTGGACCTTTGATTACCGAAGTAATATATCGTGAATACTAAGCTACTACAAGGACAAAACAATGTTGAAAGTACGATATTGATTACTACGACTAAAGAAATACAGTTCAAAATCTCACCTCAAGTTGCCAAATCCCACGACGTGGTCGCGCACGGTAAAGGCAGCCGATGTGGCGGCAGCGAGGCACGCCAACGCAGCTAGAGCGTAAGCACCAGCTGGCACCACCACCCACCACACCACGCCCTCGTGGCAGCTCACCCAGCAGCTGCGCAAGAATGGACTCTATGATCACTGAGTTAAGGGATTAAATTGCCTGTGACAGGCTCATCTAGCAGCTGCACAAGATTGGACTCTATGACAGTGTTATAAGACATTTGCTGCTGCGACGTGGCCGCGCACTGTGAAAGCGGCTGACGTGGCGGCAGCGAGACACGCAAGCGCGGCCAGGGCATATGCACCAGCCGGCACCACTACCCACCACACCACGCCCTTGTGGCAGCTCACCCAGTTGCTGGGGAAATGAGCTTTGTGACTATTTGCACAAGGTACGTCATATCTCACACACCAGCTGCAAAAATGTACTTTATGACCACTAGCATAAGGAAGTGCCTTTGGTAGTCCACGTAGCAGCTGTGGAAATGTACCTTATGACTAGCATAGCAGCATTCAAAACCTTTCTTCAAGTTGAACAGCGTGTTACGGAGAGGGTATGCACGGTGTTTCTTTACAAAGTCAACACAAGCCCTTCGTGGTTCTCATTCTTCATATACAGTGTGAGTCACGTTAAAGTGTACATATGAAAATAGATGAAACTAGACCTATTTTTATCGACAAAAAAGAGGTAAAAAAAATTGAGATTTTTTAAAAATTTTTTAGAGAATTTTTTTCTTCCAATTACGTATTGTAAAGAAAACGTAATAACTTTTAAACTAAGCGGTATATCCTGATAAAATAAAAACAGTAATAATGCTAAATAACAGGCAATACTAAAAAAATACATAAAATACACAAAAAAAGCCAAAAAATAATAAAAAAAAATATACTTTTTAAAAAGAATCTGCTTAAAAATTCGTGTTTTTTTGGTTATTTGATAATTTCCTTTAAAAAATGCCCCTATAACAGGTGGTTTTTATTGTTTTGTATTATTCTCTATTGTATTACCTTTGTAAAACCAAAAATTGCATGTCTCTATCCCTATCACAACATTTGCTATGATTTGAACAAAGGCCTACCACAATATTCTCCTCTGCAGGTAGGGACAATTTTAATATTAACTAAAATGCTTATTTTACTTCGAAATCTTTTATTTTTACTTGAAATCTAACTTGTCTTTATCAAAATTACAAATCTAGATCCATTTTCAGTTTCGTTGTTAGCGAAGCGTTGAATGGCGCGCCCGGAGAGGCTTAGTTCAAACGATCATAGCAAATGTTGTGATAGGGATAGAGACATGCGATTTTTGGTTTTACAAAGGTAATACGATAGAAAATAATTCAAAGTAATAAAAACCACCTCTTATAGGGGCATTTTTTGGAGAAATTTATCAAATAACCAAAAAAACACGAATTTCTAAGCAGATTTTTTCAAAAAGTATTATTTTTATTATTTTTTGGCTTTTTTTGTGTATTTTATGTATTTTTTTAGTATCGTCTGTTATTTAGCATTATTACTGTTTTTATTTTATCAGGATATACCTCTTAGTTTAAAAGTTATTACGTTTTCTTTACAATAAGTACTTGAAAGAAAAAAAAATCTATAAAAAATTAAAAAAAAATCTCAAAAATTTTTTGACCTCTTTTTTGTCGATGAAAATAGGTCTAGTTTCATCTATTTTCACACTGTATGTAACGAGGCGGCGCCTATACACGCTGCATATGATATAAATCTGTCAGTACAAAACAGTAGTTCTATCATACTTACAACAAGGCGTTCCCATACTGCTGCTGATGATGCGAGGCGGCCAAAGCCAGAGCCACTGCCGGGGCAGCATAAGCAGCCGCCATATGTGCCGCTAGTCCTCCATGGTTCACATCTCTCAATTTCCTTACTAGGCGGCGCAGTTGCCACGCGTCGCAGGCCGACCAAGCTAGCGCTGCCACCCACAGTAGTGGAGTCACTTTATAAGCCTATGCTGCCACCTATAGATGGCATGAGAACTGAACAGTAGCATATCATACTCACAATAAGGCGTTCCCATACTGCTGCTGATGGTGTGAAGCAGCCAGCGCTAATGCCACAGCCGGCGCGGCGTAAGCAGCCGCCATATGTGCCGCTAGTCCCCCATGGTTCACATCTTTTAGCTCCCTGACGAGGCGGCGCAGTTGCCACGCGTCGCAGGCCGACCAAGCTAAGGCTGCCACCCCCCAGTAGAGGAGACACTTTATAAGATTATGCTGCCACCTATAGATGGCATGAGAACTGAACAATAGCAAATCATACTCACAATAATGCGTTCCCATACTGCTGCTGATGGTGCGACGCGGCCAAAGCCAATGCCACGGCCGGCGCAGCATAAGCAGCCGCCATATGTGCCGCTAATCCTCCATGGTTCACATCTCGTAGCTCCCTGACGAGGCGGCGTAGTTGCCACGCGTCGCAGGCCGACCAAGCTAAGGCTGCCACCCACCAGTAGTGGAGAGACATCGCTATGAGCTTGCACGCGAACTAGGAGAGGAGAAGACAAAAGATAAGTAACTAAGTAATTTTAAAATTGAAACGATATCTTCGATATATATATTTTTATCTTCTGTGTAAGTTTTCTGCTTCTTCTGCAAAAGTAGGTACTGTGATATTCATTACGCTAACCAGAGTACGATAAACGGTTCTGAATTTTTCGTTTCTCTCTCTCGTTTGTGCATAGTTACTCGTAATGTTAAAGATTTAATAATAAGGAAGTGGTTTTGGCGTGACGTTGAAATGACTCAATATCACGCTGAGTCATTACAAATAGTTGCCTATGACGACACAAGAGTCGTGGACGCGTGACTCTTCATTTACCACTTAACCGGTTACAATGTGCTAATGCATGGAGCTATAAGATAATATATGCTACTTATCTACTGATTCGACCCATGGTCATTCTCATTATGTTGAATGGTCAGAAGTTATACTAATGATTTTACCCATTTGTGATATTGGGAAAGGTATTTCACCGGAATAAGACACATTTTGCAATCACAAAATTGTTTTTACTCACCTCATTCTGCACCAAGGAGTTCCTTGCCTTAAGCGCGATCAAGTACAACAGTTCTGCCATGAACACGCAGAATATCATGTGCTTGTGTATGGAGTTGGAGACGGTAGCAGCGCCGCCCCGCATTAGGCAGAGAGCCGCCCAAGTAGCCAGTAGCAGTGGTAGGGATATGCTGAACGCTGTGTATGACGTCACGGATTCTAGGAGGGATGGTTCCGGGATGAACTGGAGGAAAAATTCAAGCGTCAGAGACCCATTTCCTTGATTAATGAACGTATAAAATAAATCAACTCATAAAGGTGTAAATGCCAAATTTATCATAATAAACAGTAAGATGCCGATACGAACAAGACTGTGTCTGTGTCGTTGTTCATTAATAACTTTTAATTTTCTACAGGGTTATTTTATTACTTGGCTTTTTACAAATTTGCGGTTTACTTTACAAATAAGATAATCTAAAGTTTTCCTTACCTCAATGTCGACTTCGTCAACCAATACAGCGAAGGTGGACAAGTGGTTGCACGTACAGTTGATCAGCAGAGGCTCGTCCGAATACGGGGACCAGTCGTAGTCGATCTCCGTGTGACAACCGACGCGGGACCATTCGCCGAAGCTACACAAAAGATTTAGAAATTAAGACAAAAATAAATGGGTTGGGGCCAATTAGCTTTATTGTCTAATCATTAGGCTCTAATGTACAGTTTATGCCAATGTCATCACCTAACTTAATTTCTTCCTTGGGTTATGAAAGAGTGAGTCCAAGGTCATGTACCCTGAAATAAACTTAAGAGTAAGACAAGCTATAAATAATAATAAAAATGATTTTTATTTTAGTCTTGGCAACTCTCTCTTCTTTGGTTGCATTTAAACCAGCGCCTAAACCGTCCAAAAGACGATTGCCGCCTCTTTTATATCATATAGTATTGAATATACTTAGTTGGAAAAGAGAATTGAAAACTTACCCTCTCAAAGTCGACCAATGTACGCATTGCGGGTTCGTCCTCGACCCAAAAGTCTCCCTATCGATATCAAGCCACATTTGCAGCCTTATGGGTTTCTTCAGCCTCATACCCCCTAAACTCTTATACACCAATTTCTTCTTCCCCATATCTTTTGTGCCATTCCCATCTTTGGTTTTCCCATCATCAGCGACTAACGACAAAGCCAGAACTTTAGGTTCTTGGTCTAATTTTTCAGCTGTGAAAGACGAGTCGTTTTCTTGGTAGTTGTCGTTGGTAAACGCATTCTTGTCGTGTTTTTTAAACGCTGGTTGAATGAGGATGGGACCGTGGTTGTCGTGGTTGGAACTTTCGTCTTCAGTGTGATGCCACGTGTTAGTCATTTGGGGATTGGCGTTGAGATGGTTATTGGGGTTTGAAGGATGGGGGTAGCCTTTGTTGGCGTATGATATGCCTGTAAAAGAGTTATATACTGAATATCTAGGCGTAACAGTACTTGCGTTTTAAGTGCATTACTCGTACTTAGATTGGAAATAATTATCTATCAAGAGGAGAAACAGACAAATAATTCAAGACTCCCTGAAGTGTAATATAGAGTAGAGCATACTCTTCTATTCTATAGAAGATCTTGTTTTGTTTGCTTTATTTTATCGATACCAAATAGCTCTTAATTCTTCTCGAGGAATTATAAGACCAAGTTTTTCATTGTTTTGGACCATAATCAAGGCAATAGTATGGTTCAAAATAAAGTGTCAACTTTATTTCATTAGGAGTCTGTGGCAAAAGTGAAAAGAAAGAAGCCCTTTTTCACGCATCGAAATAGAAATGACACACTGCGTAATTTTTAAGTATACATCTTTGGTAGCGTACGATGTAAGTAATTCCAACTCACCCTCAATATCCTCCATATTGTTCTCCAGCGAGTTATCCTCTTTACTTTCATGGGACTCCTTCATCCAAACATACTCTGGTACAAACAGCGCCACCTGGATTATGGGTGAGCCAATAGTGATGTTGACCCCCCATCGCTGGCTGACAGATTCATCCATGCGTAAAGGCATCAGCTGGGACGTGTTGCGAGAGTATTGCATGTACGAGAATACTGCGCGGGATTCGTAGTTGGTTTCTAGGGTGTCTGGGGGATTAAGAAACTTGTTAATTTAAATGGACCAATTTCCTGAAATATCCTAAATTTTTTTTAATGCCTGCCAATAAGTGACTTATATTGCAAACATTGGCGGTCATTAGACATTATTACGAATCAGACAGTAGGATTTGTAAATGCACAGGTATTGCCACGGGTATTACCTTCTATTAAAGGACGTGAGAAGTACTTGATATTTTTTTACTGATAAAGCCTTTTTTTGTAGTTTTTAGTATTGTGGAGCCTCTTTTTTGAATACCAAATTTTCAGTTTAACATTATATTTACATCATCATATTTAGACCTTGTTCAATTTAAGACGATCTTACCGTGCACATTGCTATTGGTAATTCCCAGCAGGTCCAACGGCAGTAGGACTCTCGTGAACTTATCGAACTTGTTCTTACTCCTCACATAGTTGTTATACTTGGGGAACGACACAGTCGGACTTGACGGCTTCTTCTTAACCTTCCCGTTGCCGTACGAAGGTTGTATGGGCGAGTGTATGAAAGCTGATGTATCAGGTAAGATGACGCGTTCTGTGGTGTATGACTCCAGGTTCAAACGGTTGAGCTGGGTCGGCTCGAAACCGTATATCGATTCCGCTGTTACGATGTCCACGCCGATTACTGTGAGACAAATAATTACATTTGAAATGAGACGGTCATTGACGACATTCATATTATTGTAAAAAGAACTATTGTTCCGTAGTAGTCTAAAATACAATGTAAGTAACATTAACTTCAGTAACGTAGCTCATGCCAATGATATTGCTTGACAATAAATATATATCTATATGTGTTATAGAATGCTGTTTGTTTTCCTAACAATAAAATAAAATAAAATAAAATAAAATAAAATAGCGCTCATATTGCTGTCAAAATCATCAGTAACTCCTGAGCCAAACACATCGCGGTAGAAACAAACCCGAAGATTCGCCCCCTCCTTGTAGTAGATCGGGTTTAGTTCTAATACGTTCTATTCCCACCTCTCGTTCCCACCGTTGCAACTCCTGTGTAGCCAGGATCTACAGCTTTACCGCCAATAAAAACCCAATCAGTGAAGATCAAGTTTGTTACGGGGGGTTTAGTTCTAATGCATACAAGACGTTGCCAATTGTCAAATATTCTTACCCAAATCACTGGTGACGATCTCAAAGGGACTGGTGTAGGTGTCGTGCTGACTCTCCGCTAGCACGGCTATGTACTTGTCGTACTTTTGTAACAACTCCTCTACGCCATGGCCGGTCAGCTGGCGGATGCGCCGCCACTCCTTGTCGTAAGTCGGGCTTAGGATCGTGTTGGAGGATTTTATTATGTTCTGGAACAAGTCACATTATTTAGTTTTTATCATAATGGTTTTTAATATATTCCGCGATTCGATGTTCCGAAAGTTCATGTAAAGCTGTCTGCCCAACTTGCCGTATCAGACGTCTACGATAGCAAAAGATCTCAATGGCAAGCATTTTAATAGATTTATGATGCATAGAAGTTAAAAAGTAATTTATAATCATCATCAAGCCTCTGCTGTAGCTTAGTGCCAATCTGTGTGGTGATGATAAAAGACACATTTTCACATCTTGCTTTATGCCACAGGTACTTCTTTTGAAGTAGCACATACATTGTCAAATACGCACTAAGAGAAGGAATATCAACGACGATAGTATCAGCGGCAGTGAACGCCTACCGTCAGACGAACTTCAAGTTTCATGCTATCACTTCCATAAAACACTCACCCGAACATAATCCTTATCCTGGCTGTGCGTAAGGTTCAGTCCAGCCTGCCTCAGCTCATACTGTATGAGCTCCAATAAGATGCCTTCAGCCACTAACACATCTGCTCCATAAAGCTGTGCTGTATTACGGCAGGCCGAGGCCAGGTCTTCGGCGAGACGAACACCCACGAAAGTATTCACTGATAGTTCACCGGTTTCTATCTTGTGTAGCTGTAGTATAGATAACAAATGGGTTATTAATGTGGCAATTTTTTGTCTTAAGAATATTAAGTACACCGTTATTTTATTTTTCTTTATTATGGAAACAAACAGCATGAATTAATACATGTGAACTTAAAAATTAAAGACAGTACAGAAGCCTAATCAGTTTCCACAGATAAACGTTACAAGTTGATCGAAAGTTATGCAGAGTGCGAGCAACTTAAAATAACAAAAAACTCACAACAAAACGTTACATTATTTAATGGATTAAAAGAATATTAAAAAAATAGTTTGAAAGCTTTATATGGCATATTTTCTGATATTCTCGTTTTATGTATGTTTTAGTAATATAAAGGGTTTACCTGGTTCCTCAGTTGGTAGAAAGTGGAAGTAGTACAATTGAACATGTCCGGTTCTTGCCAGGGAATCACTTGGGTATCATCGCACATCCGAGTAGCCCGGCCGCTTGTTCCTGTACAAGTGATACTTATATAATAAGTAAAAACCTCAAGCATCATAATTATACTATAAATATTCATTTAAGATTTTATTGCTCAGCATAAGGTACAAAAGTCATTGAAAATATTGAAACAAGTAACCAATTTATTACCTGAAGGACAATCAGTTGCAGCTTCGATACCGAACTTAGTTCTCGGCCACCAGACACCATGTGAGAACGAACGCGGGCAGCCATCGTATACCACTGAAATAAAAGTATTTGTTAAAAAGAGGCAAGAGCAATTTTACAAATAATTGTCAGTCGAATGAATAGAATCATCATAATTATCATCCTCTTTGAAGTTCATAAGTCTGACACTAGAGTTCAGACTTTTTTGTCACAACCCTCAACGATGACGAGAACAAGACCATACAAAGGTTGCAAGAAGGCACTGAATGCAGGCGTTGGAAATCATTGGGGAAGGCTTACGTTCCTTAGGCTGAAATGATGAACACTTCCCCTCGCAGTCAGTGTTAGGCGCCACTTCAGCGTAGGCATTACCACTTGAGTCGCAGGCGCGGCCGACGACGCCGCCGCGGCAGTAGCACTGGCACTAGACTTCTGACTCCACTGGTCAGCAACCAACGGCAAAGGATCTCCCAAGCACTTACCCTTGTAGCCAGTATTATGAGCTATTTCAGCGTAGGCGTTGACGCAGGTCGCTACCAACTAGCTAATCTGCAGGCCTAGGTTCAGTAGTGAACATCCTGTACCTCAAATGGTGATGGGCTTACCCTCGTAGCCAGTGTTAGGCGCCACCTCAGCGTAGGCATTAGACGCGGCATATGACGCTGCCATGACAGTAGCACTGGTACCAACCGGTCAATCTGGAGATCACTGGGAGAGGCCTTTGGCCTCGAGTTCTTACCTAAACTATAGTGCGACCACGGGCCCGAAGACGTTGTGTGCGCAGGCCTACCACTAGGAACGATCTGGGAAAGTACCTGGGTAGGCAGCTTAAGACTGGTAGAAGGGGAAATCCTTGGGGGAGGCCTACGTTCAGTAGTTCTTTAGGCTGAAATGATGACGTCTATAGTCTGGTCCGTGAGCACGTAGAATTTTGTCCAATGACCCCAAGCTATTCATCCTTATCGCTCGCGCATAATTATATTGCTGTCGCGCTCGCACACTCACTGCGGGCGCCCGTCGCACAGTCGCGACAGCAATATAATTACGCGCGAGCGATAAGGATGGGTAGCTTGGGGTCATTGGACAAAATTCTACGTGCTCGGCGACCAGACTATAGCTAAAATGATTATGACTCACCCTCGCAGCCAGTGTTAGGCGCCACTTCAGCATAAGCATTGGCGCAGGAGTCGCAGGCGCGGCCGATGACGCCGCCGCGGCAGTAGCACTGGCCGCTGGTGGTCTCGCACGAGCTGTTGAGGGATCCTGCTGCGTAACATTGGCAGGGGAGGCAGTCTTCCGAGCCTTAGGACTTGTAGTCTGGTCAATAACTAACTAAGTAATAACAATCTCAAGCAATTACCCTCAAATCCAGTGTTAGGAGTCACCTCTGCGTAGATATTATCGCAGCCTATGTATGACGCAGCCACGACAGTAGCACTGATACCAACAGGCCAATCTGGAGATCATCGAGAGAGGCCTATTGCTCATCAGTGGATATCTGAAGGCAGAAGTGACGATGACTTACCCTCGCAGCCAGTATTAGAAGCTACTTTGGCGTAGGCGCTGGCGCAGACCGCTACCAACTAGCCAATCTGGAGGCCTAGTGAACATCCTGTGGTTGAAATGATGATGACTTACCCTCGCAGCCAGTGTTAGACGCCACCTCAGCGTAGGCATTGGCGCAGGAGTCGCAGGCGCGGCCGATGACGCCGCCGCGGCAGTAGCACTGGCCGCTGGTGGTCTCGCACGAGCTGTTGAGCGAGCCCGCCGCGTAGCACTGGCAGGGAAGACAGTCTTCTGAGCCTTCGGACTTGTCATTTGCATATTTGGTCAATAACCAAATAACTTCCAAGAACTTACCCGCGCAGGCAATATTAGGAGCCACCTTGAGCGTATGCGTTTGCGCAGGAATCGTAGGCGCGGCCGATGACGCCGCCGTAGCAGTAAGACGGATACCAAAGTTCTGCCTCCACTAGTCAACAACCAACGACAAACGATCTCCCAAGAACTTACCTTCGCAGCCAGTGTTAGGCGCCACCTCAGCGTAGGCATTGGCGCAGGAGTCGCAGGCGCGGCATATGATGCTGTCATGACAGTAGCACTGATACCAACCGGTCAATCTGGTGATCACTGGGAGAGGCCTTTGGCCTCGAGTTCTTACCTATAGTGGCGACCACGGGCCGGAAGACGTTGTATGCGCAGGCCTACCACTAGGAACGATCTGGGAAAGTACCTGGGCAGGCAGCTCAAGTAGTAGGGGAAATTCTTGGAGGAGACCTACATACAGCAGTTCCTTAGGCTGAAATGATGACGTCTATAGTCTGGTCCGTGAGCACGTAGAATTTTGTCCAATGACCCCAAGCTATTCATCCTTATCGCTCGCGCGTAATTATATTGCTGTCGCGCTCGCACACTCACTGCGGGCGCCCGTCGCACAGTCGCGCGTCGGGTAGCTTGGGGTCATTGGACAAAATTCTACGTGCTCGGCGACCAGACTATAGCTAAAATGATTATGACTTACCCTCGCAGCCAGTGTTAGGCGCCACCTCAGCGTAAACATTGGCGCAGGAGTCGCAGGCGCGGCCGATGACGCCGCCGCGGCAGTAGCACTGGCCGCTGGTGGTCTCGCACGAGCTGTTGAGCGAGCCCGCCGCGTAGCACTGGCAGGGGAGGCAGTCTTCCGAGCCTTCGGGCTTGTAGTGGTTTTCCTGGTAGAAAATAATTCATAATTATTAATTTATTCATTGCATCATAAATAAATAAATATCCTTGGACATTTTTACACTGCGCTTCTAGTCCCAAACTAAGCAAAGCTTGTACTATGGGTACTAGACAACGGATATAAACATACTTAAATACTTTTTTTTTTGTAAATACATACATATTATACATAGAAAACACCCAGTCCAATACAAACAAATATGTTCATGCACACAAAATGTTTGTACTATGCGGGAATCGAACCCGCAACCTCCGGAATAGTAGTCTGTTTCGAACCACTACACCAAACGGCCGACTATCAAGAACAAGTTGATAAAAATATTCGTGAAGAAGTTGGTATGCAATGGCAAGGAAACAAAAGTCGCATTGGCGACTCCGATCGCCAATCAGAGGCTCCCAACACCGACACCTTTCTTCTCTGGTACTAGCATTACTGTCAGCACTGGCTGGGGGAGGCGCCTGGCCCGCTCGCTGATCGCCCTTTGAGCCTGGACGAATCACCTGATGGTCTTGTACCGCGAGGGCGAGGCAATGATACTAGAGACGAGTTACAGTTAAAGGTTCAGCCAAACCAACGCGATCAGCCGGCGTGCAGCGATGGCGATCAATGGTTTTAAGTCTGATTAACCTTAAGTCCGTCGCGGTAGCGTCCGAAGCGTAAGCTCGAAGCCCACATCAGCCACTGCTCGAAGAATCCACGATACGACGACGCTCGAAAAACGCTAATATGTGGTGGTCCATTAAACTTCAACACTCGCACGCTACCTTGCAGTGGCACGCGCCGGTGTCGCGGCGGCAGTGCGGGTGCAGGCCGCGCGCGGCGCACTGGCACGGCCCGCACGCGCCCGCGCCCCACCAGCCGCCCGGGCACTCCAGCGCGCCGCCCGCCCGCAGCGCTCCTCTACAACACTCGCACGCTACCTTGCAGTGGCACGCGCCGGTGTCGCGGCGGCAGTGCGGGTGCAGGCCGCGCGCGGCGCACTGGCACGGCCCGCACGCGCCCGCGCCCCACCAGCCGCCCGGGCACTCCAGCGCGCCGCCCGCCCGCAGCGCTCCTCTACAACACTCGCACGCTACCTTGCAGTGGCACGCGCCGGTGTCGCGGCGGCAGTGCGGGTGCAGGCCGCGCGCGGCGCACTGGCACGGCCCGCACGCGCCCGCGCCCCACCAGCCGCCCGGGCACTCCAGCGCGCCGCCCGCCACGCAGCCCTCCTCTGGAACAATATGGAATGGTTAAAACAGTTAACCATGTACGTACAGTTATGATACTACTACTAGCGGCAGTTCGCGACTTCGTACACGTGGAGTTAGTTATTTAAACATAGGACTTTAATACAAACAGTTGTTTTATTTACAAAAATAAAAAAATTCTGCACTCGGGACTATGTAAAAGAGAAAAAAACGTAACAAGTCATGGTAACGTATCTATGTCATGAATAAAAAATTAAGTTCTTTATTCATCTAATAAAGAATGATAGGTAGAAGCGTCCTATACCAGGTCAAAAGTACAGATGTTTTTTGGTGTTGTCCTTTCTGTAGTAGGAATAAAACTCTACTACTCTACAGTACAGAGAACAATCATAATATTTTGTAAACGCACGCTGGCCCCCCTCGATACGGGTCACACTCAGTGTGTCACACATGACGCAATAACTCACCCGTCATGACGTATCCCTCGTCGCAGTCGCAGCGGTAGCCCCGGCCGCCGCTGTGGCTGACGCAGTACGAGTGCGGGCCGCAGGGGGCCAGCTAGCACGCCGCCATGCACGGCGGCCCCCCTCGATACGGGTCACACTCGGTGTGTCACACGTGACGCAGTCACACGTGACGCAGTCACTCACCCGTCATGACGTATCCCTCGTCGCAGTCGCAGCGGTAGTCCCGGCCGCCGCTGTGGCTGACGCAGTGCGAGTGCGGGCCGCAGGGGGCCAGCTCGCACGCCGCCACGCACGCCGGCCCCACTCGATACGGGTCACACTCGGTGTGTCACACGTGACGCAGTCACTCACCCGTCATGACGTATCCCTCGTCGCAGTCGCAGCGGTAGCCGCGGCCGCCGCTGTGGCTGACTCAGTGCGAGTGCGGGCCACATGGGGCCAGCTCGCACGCCGCCATGCACGCCGGCCCCACGCGGCCCGCGTCACACTCGGTATGTCACATGTGACGCAGTCACTCACCCGTCATGACATATCCCTCGTCGCAATCGCAGCGATAGCCGCGGCCGCCGCTGTGGCTGACGCAGTGCGAGTGCGGGCCACATGGGGCCAGCTCGCACGCCGCCACGCACGCCGGCCCCACGCGGCCCGCGTCGCACTCGCACTCCGTCGTGTCCCAGGAGGATACGCATTGGCTCTGTAAGTTATAGACAGTTGGTACAAAGGCCATAATATTGATTAATATACACAAAAATATGTAGGCATTTTCTTCTGCCCGCGACTTCGTCCGCGTGGAACAGTTACTTGTCTTAGCGTGATGATATTATGCTTGTAGCCTTCATTAATAAATGGGCTATCTAATACTGAAATATTTTTTTCAAATCGGACCAGTAGTTCCCGAGATTAGCGCGTTCAAGCAAACTCTTCAGCTTTATAATATTAAGTACAGATATAGATATACAGGGTGTTAGGTAAATGGGTATATGAGCCGACACTAGCCCATGTTAACATGGTCATATAAATGGTATGGTGAAGTCAGAAAATTGATATCTTCATTTTAATTATTTTAATTTTCATACAAATCGGATTTTATAAAATTTATTTTGTATGAAAATTAAAAAAATCAAAATGATGATATCAAATTTCTGACTTCACCATACCATTTATATGACCATGTTAACATGGTCTAGTGTCGGCTCATATANAATGGTATGGTGAAGTCAGAAAATTGATATCTTCATTTTAATTATTTTAATTTTCATACAAATCGGATTTTATAAAATTTATTTTGTATGAAAATTAAAAAAATCAAAATGATGATATCAAATTTCTGACTTCACCATACCATTTATATGACCATGTTAACATGGTCTAGTGTCGGCTCATATACCCATTTACCTAACACCCTGTAGAATTGGTAGTAATGTCAGACGATAACTATGATGTAATAGAAAGAAAATACTTACATAAGGCGGGCAAATCGACAGCATACAGTCAGCGCGGGATTGGCAGCCGTCCCTCACATTCTCTCTCACTGTTGGGCGGTTCAATAAAGATTGACTCGTTCCCACTCGAACATCCTGAGCAAAATGTAATTCATATAGGGGCCAGGATCTTACTTATTTTGTACCAAAAGAAGATTTATCGATATCTTGAAGTATCGATAAAAATTAAAGTTTAATTTTTAATTTATACTTGGATTAGGTACACAAAGTTAGAATCGACCATTTATGACTTTGACTCACCTGAATACACCCTTCAAAGTACCCGACTTCCGACGCCAATAGCCCAGCAGTGCTATCCGGTCCACCGATCAGGATCTTCCCAATATACTGGCCCTGGACCTTATTGGCCAGCATCGGAAGCAAGGCAGTACGAAGCCCATAGTCGATGGCGACAGAAATGTCAGTTCCTAGCCACTTGATCTCGACGCGATGCCACACGCCGTCAGCCAGGTTCATTGATGGAAGGAACATGGATTCTCCATTGTAGGCGTAGTGGAGGAGACCGGATTTTAGCTGTAGAAGGAAAAAGAAACTTTAGTCTCATTATAGTTAGGTCATTTATTCTACATTCCAGGAGGACGACCCTTTCCAATTTACCAGAGGTGAAAAGGAGGATTTGATCTACACTCTCCATTCTGGACAGACATGATTTTTACTTATTTCTTCCTTAGTCGCCTCTTACGATATCCACGGGGAGAGCGTAAGTCCTATTCTACTCTGCAGGACACGCAGCTGAAGGTATAAGTCCGTAGGTGTTGATATGTATTCTTTGAAATACCTTCAGACGACGTGTCACAAAAAAAAAACAACACGACGACTCGTCTGCTGCTGCTGCGTTGAGTCGGCTCGGAAATTGCCTTTTCCGACATCCATGGGAACAGTGGAGAACACGGGAACTCCGACGGAACAGCATAGCTAAAGAATCTCCTTATTTATAGAATCAGAAATGAGGAGATCCGCACGAGAACTAAAACATAGCTCGCAGAATCGCTAATGTTAAGTGGCAGTGGGCGGGCACATAGCTCGCAGAGATGATGGCCGCTGAGGCAGAAAAGTTCTGGAAAAAACGTGGCGACCACGAGCCGGAAAACGTAGTGTGGGCAGGCCTCCCACCAAGTGGACCGACAATCTGGTGAAGGTCGCAGGAGGTGCCTGGATGCGGGCGGCGCAGGACTGGTCTTTGTGTAAACCGGTGGGGGAGGCCTTTGTCCAGCAGTGGACGTCATTTGGCTGAAACGAACGATCATTTGATAGATAGATAGATAGATATTTATTTGCATCACCATAATGTAACATAGGATACATAAGGCTTAAAGCTAATAAATAGATCATTATGCAGGGTTGTCGGGCACTGCAATTAGAAGAGAGGAGGATCTACTTTTAATTTATCACAATTTGGACTATAAAAGTATTAGTCGTTAATTATTTTATTTTAATATTCATATGTATAAATAATATTATGTATAATTATATTTTACTGTAACTTTCCTATTACAATTTATCATTAAAATACTCCTGAATTGTATAGTAACTTTTTTCTATTAGTAAGACTTTTAGTTTTTTAATAAATATTTTTTCTTTTTCTTCTCCTTTTATTGAATTTGGCAGCTTATTAAATATTTTAATTGCCATTACATAAGGGCCGCTTGAGTACATATTAAGTCGTGATATTGGTAGGACTAGCTTATTTTTTTGAATGTGAATTTGAATGTGTGAATGTGAATGTGAATTTAGTAGGCAAGTCCTGTCGTTTTGTAAAAAAATTTGGATGATTTTTGACAAAACATAGTTCGTAAATATACATGCAAGGTAATGTTAGAATTTTTAATCGTCGAAAGTAAGGTTTGCAGCTGTCCATTGGTTGGATGTTTGCTATAATTCTAATTAACTTTTTTTGTAGAATTAGCAAGGATGCTGCGTTTAATAGAAACTCACGCTGATCAGTATGGAGCTGTTCTGGCCCACTTGTATGGAAACGAAGAAGGCGTCGGTTTGCCGCGTGCGTAGCGACAGCGCGTTAAGCCAAGGCAGCTGGATAGGACGTAGCAGCGGGTTGAAGGATAACATACCATGGCATATCCCCCTCCCCCCAAAATGGTATGGGGGGACCTCTAGCTCTCCAGAATGAACAATAGTACTAGCTCTTGAGCTATGGTACCGATCGCAGCCCCCCTCCCCCCTCATATCATGACATGTAGGGGGCCAGGCCCCCCCTGGAAAATGACCCAAGATACGCCATACATGCCGCATATAACAGCAGCTGTTACAATGTATACTTACGCTGATCAGTATGGAGCTGTTCTGGCCCACTTGTATGGAGGCGAGGAAGGCGTCGGTTTGCCGCGTGCGGAGAGACAGCGCATTGAGCCACGGCAGCTGGATGGGCCGCAGCAGCGGGTTGAAGGATAACATACCCATGCGCGATATAGCGGGGCCTCTCCAGAATGAACAATAGTACTAGCTCTTGAGCTATGATACCAATCGCAGCCCCCCCTCCTCATATCATGACATGTAGGGAGCCAGGCGCCCTCTGGAAAATAACCCTAGATACGCCATACATGCCGCATATAACAGCAGCTGTTACAATGTATACTTACGCTGATGAGTATGGAGCTGTTCTGGCCCACTTGTATGGAGGCGAGGAAGGCGTCGGTTTGCCGCGTGCGGAGAGACAGCGCATTGAGCCACGGCAGCTGGATGGGTCGTAGCAGCGGGTTGAATGATAGCATCCCGTCGCCGCTGAACCGCCATGGCGGGGGTGTTGCTGTGGAAAAAAATATACATGAAGGCTGAGTTGCACCACCTTATTTTAACTGTAACAATAACAATAACCAGTGCTTTTTGTATGGAGTTTGACAGAATTTTGACGTTTGTCAAAGTTAAAGTACGATGGTGCAACTTAGCCTAATACAACCGGGTCGAATTAAGTGCGCACCTGGCGGCCGTGACGTCATATCAACGCTCTGGTACGGACACGAGGCGAACGCGAAGAGGTATTCAGGTAAGTAGGAGAGAGTCACTTTCCAGCGAGGTGCTCATTTAGCTCCATCGAGTTATAAAATATCCATGGGCTTTGCCATGGGTCTCATAAGAAGGCTCAAGGTCGCCAAAAGGGCGATGGAGTGTGGAATGCGAGTTTCCCTACTGCACTGGATCGAATCGGAAATGAAAAGAAGAAGAAAAGAATCTGTGGGAGAACCAAGTAACTGGCATAACCCCGCAGAAATGCCAAACTTATTTGGCAGTGGGCGGGGCGTATAGCTCGTAGAACTAATGGCCGTTGGTGCAAAAAAGTTCTCGAGTGGCAACTACAGTTTGGAAACTTTGATGTATGCAACGCGACGATTTAGAAAAGGTCGTGGGAAACACTGAATGCAGTCAGCGTAGGACCAGTTTAATTTATTCACATCAAGAGACATAAATGTTGAGTATTTTCAAGTTATTATTTTTAGCTATACATGACCTCTCAAATTAATAAATAGGACTTACTTTCCCCGCAGTCTTTCCCCGTGTATCCTTCCGTACAGTCGCAGATGTAAGTGTCCCACAGGTCCCGGCACTCGGCACCATTAAAGCACGGCGCGGAACTACACTGGGACCGCTTCTCGGGACAGCCGGCTAGGGTGCCATTATCTGCTACGTAGCTGTGGAAATGGCGTGGTTAATATGTTTTTATGAAACCTTCATTAAAAAGTTTCTTAAGACAAGTCAATAAGATTCAAGGACGGAAGTTTTAAAGCTTTGAATGGAGAGGAATGGCAAGGAAGTTTTAAATGGAGACAGTACCTTCCCACGTTATTTTGAATCTAATTGTTTTGTCTTAAGATTATCTGAAGCTCAATAAACGATAATGTGAAGGTACTCTTCTCTCTTATTTATTTATTTATCTTTATTAAAGAAACATACAGCCTTGTTAGACACATGCAGTTAACAGGAATCCACACTACACTGTGACGCTGCTGTTTAGCGAGTGGTTTTAAATCAAGTGATGTATGGGTAAAATTTTATTAGCATCTAGATCTGATTAACTAGGTTTGATAGTATTACCTGTTCAAGTCGATAAACTTGTGGTCGATGTAGAAGTCAGAAATGCAGCCGACGAAATCCTTGGTCTTCACTTGGAAACTACTCGGGATGTTGGGCAAGCCACCGATTTGGAGAGGACCCGTTAGATCCAGGAATCTGTATCAGATAAATACATTAATAAATTATAATAGTACATGGGATTTGCTAAATTACTTATATTGAAGCGTATGCCAAATTGAGGACAGTCTGCGTTTTAAACTTTTGACAGAGTGGGAAAAACACCTAAAAGATGAAAGCCTACTTGAAAGACGCATAGATTGATTAAACTGTCGAGTGGCGAGTATACCAATGAATGCTTCAACATTTATATTTTAAACCTCACTAAAAAGCAAAAAAAAAAATAATCTCAAGCTGACTAAGCTTTACGAATTGCCAAAGCAATATCATTGTTGTTGTAAGCTGCTTTAAGGTTCAATTTCAACAAGGGATTACCTGTGACAAGTCTCAGTAGCGATATCACAACGAGGCGGCAGGATCTTCCTGGTGAGGTTCGCACATGCGTACTTCTGGCCAAAGTCCGCCGCACCGGCTAGCGATAAGTCCTTGTCGCAATCGTCCACTGTCATGGTCGCAGTCTGCAAAAATAAAGTTGCGTTGAACAGCAATATGAACATGCCTTTATATGTTCAATGGTACGAGAAGTCAATTATAGGCCAGTAGAATTAGATTTTAAATCGGAAATAATTCCTAGAAAAGATTTTATTGCTTTAATGGCTTCATTGGTTGCCCATTAAGACTCTCCTAGGTTTTCGACTTCGACGGAGTTGTTCTTAAGTGGTGGGGGCCCCCGAAAGGGGCGCTTTTTAGGTTTTCCGGTTATACCGCGTAAAGGACTTACCCTATCGAAAAGTGGTCTTCCTGACGGTTGAAGGTCATTTAATCCTGCATTAAATAAGACCAAATTCATATGTTTTGGACAAACCGTTCTCGTGCAAATGTTCGGCAAAGTAGAAAATATGTGTATAATTATGACCCTCTCCACGTCCAATAGCTCGTCACCCGTAAGCTCCCAAGCCTTGTGAAGGGTCGCCTTAACCAGCGTATCCCTGTCAAGGCTCACGAGTTGGATTCGCTTATCCTTGTTCGTTCCAGCCGTTCATTAACTGCGGTTGCTGCACCTCTTCCTGGCACTCTCCTAAACGACTCTGTGTTACCTAATGTGGCTGCCCCTCTTTCTTGTACCCTCCTGTACGATTGCATTGCTTAGCCATATGCCTGGTGGTTCGACGCCACAAAATCAACTTCGTACGCGTGAAAATAGTTTAAATACTATTTTCCGTGCTTGCAACATTTTTCTTTACTGCTTCGCCTCTATTAGTCGTAGAGTGATTGTATATACCATATGTCATTTTTGTGTTTAATTCTACTGGCCTATTATTACAGCCGATGGCAATCTGCTTCTGACATAGTCCAATGTATTAGCAAGCTGAATGGCAATGAGCAGGATACATTACACCTAGAACTGACGGATGATGCGCAGCAAGGTTATGGGCTGGAGGCCATGTAACGGCAAAGAGTGACATCCATCCATAAAGTGAACAGGTGACCGTAAGGTTGCGGGAAGGAGTTGCGGGAAGGTGCTGGATGCAGGCCGCTTCCAACCGGCGAATCTGAAATGACGACAGTGACTCACCCTATTCAAGTACTGGACTTCAACAGTATGCCACATGCCGTCAGCCACATCAGCAGCGACAGTCAGCTCGGTCTTGCCGCCGCCCAGCGCGAAGGTGAAGCGTAGTCCCGTAGCGTATGAGTCATTGGGAAAAGTCTACGTTCAGCAGTAGACGTGGCTGAAATGACGACAACAATAACTCACCCTATTCAAATACTGGACCTCCACCGTATGCCACATGCCATCAGCCACATCAGCAGCGACAGTCAGCTCGGTCTTGCCGCCGCCCAGCGCGAATGTAAACCGCAGGCCCGCGCCGCCCGCCTGCCCTGCGCCCGTTCCCACCAACTCGAGAGCGACGAAGTCGGTACTCACTCTATTATAAAGTCGCTGATATAGGCCGACGGATTAGCAAGCTGAAGTGGCAATGGGCAGATCACAAAGTATGCAGAACTGACGGCCGATGGGGAAGCAAGGTCCTAGAATGGCAAACGCAGCGTGAGACGTCCACTCACCAGGTTCACAGATGACCTTATAAAGGCTGTAGGAAAGGATGCCGCTACCAACCAGGCAATCTGGAAAACAGTGAACGTCCTGTGGCTGAAATTACGATATGACTTACCCTATTCAAGTACTGGACCTCCACCGTATGCCACATGCCGTCAGCCACATCAGCAGCGACAGTCAGCTCGGTCTTGCCGCCGCCCAGCGCGAATGTAAAGCGCAGGCCCGCGACGCCCGCCCGCCCTGCGCCCGTTCCTACCAACTCTAGGGCGACGAAGTCGGTACTCACTCTGTTATAAAGTCGCTGATATAGGCCGACGGATTAGCAAGCTAAAGTGGCAATGGGCAGATCACAAAGTATGCAGAACTGACTTCCAATGGAGCCGGTTCTGGAATGGAGAACACGAACCGGCAAGCGCAGCGTGGGCCATTCACTCCGCCCATAAGGTAGATAGATAACCTTTTAAAGGTTGCAGGAAAGCGCAGGATGCAGGCCGCTACCAACTGGCCAATTTGGAAATCAATGGACCTCGGTGGCTGAAATGATAAAGACTTACCCTATTCAAGTACTGCACTTCCACCGTATGCCACATGCCGTCAGCCACATCAGCAGCGACAGTCAGCTCGGTCTTGCCGCCGCCCAGCGCGAATGCAAAGCGTAGTCCCGCGCCGCCCGCCCGCCCTGCGCCCGTTCCTACCAACTCTAGGGCGACGAAGTCAACTCACTCTATAGTAAAGTCACTGATATGGGCTGACGGATAAGCAAGCTGAAGTGGCAATGGGCGGAATACTGTACATTACATAGCACGCAGAACTGATGGCCGATGGGGCAGCAAGGTTCAGGAATGCAGGTCACGTACCGACAAGCGCAGTCTGGAACGTCCACAAGGTAGACAGACGACTTTATGTTGCAGGAAGGTGCTGGATGCAGGCCACTTTCAACCGGTCAATCTGGAAATCTTTTAGAGAGGCATCAAACGTCCTCTGGCTGAAATGACGACGACAATGACTTACCCTATTCAAGTACTGGATCTCCACCGTATGCCACATGCCATTAGCCACGTCAGCAGCGACAGTCAGCTCAGTCTTGCCGCCGCCCAGCGCGAACGTGAAGCGCAGTCCCGCTCCGCCCGCCCGCCCTGCGCCTGTGCCCACCAATTCAAGGGCGACGAAATCGTGACGCTCGTTGTAGCGACCGTTGTATAGGAGAAGGCCTGACGATGCTTGCGTTGCGAACCTAAGAATAACAAGGGTATGAATAAAAGTTATGGTACTTGAAACTACCCCAAAATTACGTGCTTCCCAGTACCGAAACTACTGAAGTACTGGGTTACATAAAATCCTGGCCCTTAGCTCGCTTATTGCAGATGGAAACCACCGGTGCATAAAGATCCATCTCTTCCTCTAAGCGTTGGTGCCTCCTCTTCAAGAAAAGTCATGAATGATGACGAAAGGAAACTTTCAGTTCGTACATAACAGTGGTATAAGCCGCGTCTATGGCACACTCCTGACACAGTATATCACCCTTACTGGGAAACCGTTGCGCCATAGACCCATTTCATAACTTTCCCTAAGCTTTGGTACTCACTTAAGTTTCAAATGCAGCCTATTCAAGCCAGGGAAGGTCATGAATGATGACGTAGGGAAAGTAGGGAAACTTTCAGTTCCCACATAGCAGTGTTATAAGCCGCGTCTATGACACACCCCTGGCACAGTATGCCACCCTCACTGGAGACCACTAAGGATATAAAGCTACTTCCTTTCCCTAGGCTCTGGTACTTACTTGAGTTTCAAATGCAGTCGATTCCGCCTCTTCAAGCCAGGAAAGGTCAGGAATGATGACGTAGGAAAGCTCCTAGCCTTGAGCTCGCATATGGCAGTGGTATAAGCCGCGTTTATGGCACACCCCTGGGACAGTTACAGGAGACCACTGAGACATAGACCTATCTCTACGTCTAAGCTTGGGTACTTACTTAAGTTTCAAATGCAGTCGATTCCGCCTCTTTAAGCCAGGGAAGGTCAAGAACGATGACGTAGGGAAGCTCCTAGCCTTGAGCTCGCACATGGCAGTGGTATAAGCCGCGTTTATGACACACCCCTGGCACAATATATCGCCTTCACTGGAGACCACTAAGGGATATAAAGCTACTTTCTTTCCCTAAGCTCTGGTACTTACTTGAGTTTCAAATGCAGTCGATTCCGTCTCTTCAAGCCAGGAAAGGTCAGGAATGATGACGTAGGAAAGCTCCTAGCCTTGAGCTCGCATATGGCAGTGGTATAAGCCGCGTTTATGACACACCCCTGGCACAATATATCGCCTTCACTGGAGACCACTAGGGGATATAAAGCTACTTCCTTTCCCTAAGCTTTGGCACTTACTTGAGTTTCAAATGCAGTCGATTCCGCCTCTTTAAGCCAGGGAAGGTCAAGAACGATGACGTAGGGAAGCTCCTAGCCTTGAGCTCGCACATGGCAGTGGTATAAGCCGCGTTTATGACACACCCCTGGCACAATATATCGCCTTCACTGGAGACCACTAAGGGATATAAAGCTACTTTCTTTCCCTAAGCTCTGGTACTTACTTGAGTTTCAAATGCAGTCGGTTCCGCCTCTTCAAGCCAGGAAAGGTCAGGAATGATGACGTAGGAAAGCTTCTAGCCTTCAGCTCGCACATGGCAGTGGTATAAGCCGCGTCTATGGCACACCCCTGGCACAATATGCCGCCTTCGCGTCGAGCCACGCATTGGGACCCGCTGCGACATATTGACCCGTCTCCGTTCACTGAGCACGTGGCTTTGGTTAGTATGGTCTCGCAGTTTACACCTGGAAAATGAATATTAATAAGAATCTGAAGATCAACCTCAAATGACTAAATATCCAGAACAGTTTGTGATACTTTTTTAGTTTGTTTATGGTTCAAAATCAATTGAAGAAGTGTAACATTTCATGGTAGGTTGATGTGCGACTAGGCACATCTCCTGGCACACTAGGCAGGGGTGTACCAGGATACTGCGCTTTATATTGGTCATGAGCTCTAAAATATAAAAATGTACATTTGTCAGTTCTCTATTGCATCCATACGCGGGTATTGTGTCTTTTAGTCATGGAAGGATCTAGATTTCTAGAAGATGTATATTAGCCACGGAAGGATCTAATAAGTGTAGATAGGTAGAGCCTGGATGCGGGCAGCGCCGGACCGTTGGTTGGAGGAGGCCTTTGTCCAGCAGTGGACGTCATTCGGCTGAAACGAACGAGGTATAGTAAGCAGATCGTACCGGTATATCCAGGTGCGCAGACGCACGTGTAGCCGCCTTCACGCCGCACGCACGTGCCGTTGTTGTTGCACGGCGACGAGTAGCACAGGTCTACCTCTGTGTCGCACATGTAGTGCTCTCTTGAACCTGTGAACCAAATATTCCAGATATTTCTCTAAAAGTAGGTATAAGTTGCCATCGCGAGGGCTGGAAACCATGAATGATCTTCCAGCCCTTCGGCTTGACTTCAAGTCAATCGGATATTGAAAAGGATTTTAACCGTTTCTTAATTTAATTACAAGAAACTGTTCTTAGAAAAGAATGTTTCAATGATTGCAGACGAATGACGATAGGAGAGAGATACTTCTTCCATGTGGTTCACTCATTCCGTGGATATCGTAAAATGCGACTAAGTGTGAAAATATTGTATTTCAGGCCTCCCCAACCCATCTGGCTAGCGTGGGGATCCGGATGGTATTCTAAATCTTCTTCTGTTCGCTTCTTTTAAATGTGCATCGAGTTCTTGCAGTGGAGACTGAATCACTGGAATGACCGGGTATCACTAGGGGACATGTCGCGGAGATAAGTCGTCCGACATTTACGTAGTTTGTCTCTGCAACTTTGTCCCTCGACATATGACTTGTTCACACTAGCCAGTAGTGAACAGTATGTCGCCCGAGGAGCGACACAAAGCGACACGCGTCCTCACTACTCAAAGGCTGTCGGGCGACTGTCGAGGGACACGAAGATCGCGCATCGACGCTTGCAGAGCATCGATAAGCAACAAGTCTCGCGACCCGTAGATGTCGCAAGCGACGTCGGGCGACATCACGCGGGACACGTGAATTTCGTCTCGGGTGACAGAGTCGCTGGACAAATATCTCCTAGTGAAAACGCGGCTTTGGGCGATTGCAGCGCCTCTCTTAAATTGAAGTGTCGTGTTCTTGCAGTGGAGACTGAAATACTTAATGACCTGGAAGTTAAAGACTTACCCGTAAATCCATAAGGGCACTGGCAGGTGAAGGTGGTGACGGGGTAAATAGGCCGGAATAGCATGGTGTCGCTGGCCACGAAGCCCGACGCGTTACCGAACTTTAGTACTGTGAGGCACGCCTCGAAGTTCAGGCAGGGCTCGTGCACGCATACGTTGTCGTCGAATGGGAGGACCTTGGGACGTAAGCAGTAAGTGTCAAGTTCCATCTTGCTATTGTAATCAAATAAAATATAAAAAGTGCTATAACATCTAATAGGAGAAGGTAAATAGCTTACGAATGATTTGTCGCTTGCTTTCTGTTTTATCATTTTTATGTGAAGAAAAAACTGCAGTGTCTTTGATAAATTCATGTAATCATCGAGTGCAATATCTTGATGACTAAAAACTTCAAAGTCTTATGCCCGTTCTCACCATCAATCCCTATTTTTTAAGGGACCCTTATGGTAACACTTAACAGGCATTTTGTTTTCATAGGAGTCACTTCAAAATTAGGGATTGATGGTGAAAACGGGCATTAATACCCTAAGGCTTTCAAAGAATATTGTGAATTTTGGGCAACCTCGCTTCATCATTATTTCAGTGAGATGGTGTCAATCAGAAGACAACTTTTACCATACAAAAAGATATTACAATTAACTAGATTTTGACCATGACTACAGTTTGATTTGATATTGCCTGCCAGAATTTCAGATTATCCAGAAAGACAGTAGAAGAATTCTCAAAATTGGTTGATATTTTCAAAGATCTTATAGGCACACTCACAAACTTTGCCTCTTTAAGTGTAGTCTCACCTGTACTGTAGCTAGCCTGGCCAACGTAGCGCGGTGCAGGTACACCCGCTCGCGCAGGTGCGTCGGCGAGTAGTACTGTGAAGTATCACCAGCCACGCCGACCTCTGCGTCCGGTCGACGCGCCGAAAACGACACGTTTAGGATGTTGCCCGTCACGTCTGTGTCGTCCTGTTTACGGAATAAACCATGTGATCAAGCATAAATTAGAGACAGGCAGATAAGCGCTTTTATTTTACTACTAGCTTTTGCCCGCGGCTTCACCCGCGTGAAATTTAGTTTTTCATATATCGTCATAATTTATAGCCTATATATTATTCTGGGTTATAAACAATAATACTTTAAAGTTTCATTAAAATCCGTTCAGTAATTTTTGCATGAAAGAGTAACAAACATTTACACATCCAAACTTTCTATACCATCCGAGGCACTTGGCGTATCTGAGTTTTTTTTTCAGGGTGGACCGGGACCATCGCTCTGAATATCGCAAGAGGGGAGGGTGCGATTAGGGACTTGGGTCGGGGCTCCCTCGGGTCGGGGGCCCGTGGCATTTTGCCAGCCTTGCCCGCCCACCCTATAGTTACGCCATTGATGAAAAGTAATTGTCTGGAAATGGTAACCTTATCCAAAGGAATCTACTTGCGGCTAAACAACAAAATTCTCCGCATCTCTACTTATTTAGCCAAAAGCTTGAATTTTAATAAAAACTAAAACTCAACCAGTAGTGGCGAAACTAGTCTTTATTTTGTACCACATTTACCGCAATAAAGAAATTCTTATTCTTATAAGGATTTCATTGGAACCATACCAAAATTTATCCGTAATAAAAGTATGCGTTAAAAATTACATTTCCTCCAATGCAAAAAAGATTTTTTCCTCCAAAACAAATCTAAAAAAGATTTATTGAAAAGATAGTAGTACCTCTGTTATCACTATGTGACTGCTCTTATTTACGAATATTTCCAAACTAAACTAACCTGCACACTAAACACATAAATGTTCTCCTTAGGGCATGGGACGATAGCCGCTAAGCCATCCACGAAGAAGCCCAGTAATGGTGATAGAAACTGCTCCGCCGTCATAGCGTTTAGTCGCACGGTGATAGAGTTTAGCAGCATTTCTTCGGTTATCAGTCGAACTGACAGTTGCATCATCGCTTTCACTTCGTTTACACCATCTGCAGGAGTGGAAAGTTAAGTATTTTGCGAGTTTTAAACTACACTCGACGTCAAATAAATCGCATCTCCCGCGACAAGCACTTTCAAACGTATGCATCCCAACTTCCCTCCAATATTGGTACCATTTGAAAGCCTAGTTCTAAGCTTCATTTCATGAAACAAAAGGCTTTTACCCCAAAATGTCGCAGGAGGTGCGATTTATTTGACGTCGAGTGTATGTTACACATTATTTTTTTTATTGTTAATACATTATTATCGCTTGTGTTATAATATTAGTTACAGAATTCATTACCTGAGACAGAAATTTCCATGGTGGCCAGCTTTGGAACGTTGGTATTGAGTTGCGGTGATAACGTCATGGATCCCGTGGTCTCGTTTAGTAGCACTAGATTAGCGTTATTGCCCGATAATATCCGATATTGGAGCTGAAACAAGTTTACTTCATTGAGCACTTCTTTGGCAATAAGTAAGTCTAATGGAGACTTATAGGAAAAACAACCAAAAGAAAACGTTTTATTTAATATTAATTTGTTATCGTTTTTGTGTAAGCGTTGCCAGAATCACGTATTCAAATGATAATAATAATAATTTAATACTAAGAATAGAATCGAGACTGTTTAGTGTAAAGTCAATAACAAGGTTAAATTTTATCTAGAATAAAGTTTTAGCATTGCTTGGAGAAATAGATCAAAGAGCAAGTTATAGCAAAGGGTTATAGCAATTTTGGTTGGATTTCATGATATACATAAACGTATAGTTACAATCACAATATAGCAGTAGTCTGATCTACATACCTTATCAGTGACATCAGCATCATACGCCGGGACCCTCCCAAACGGCCCCACAGGGAAGCAATCCTTATAGTTGTTGAATATAATCTGGAAGTCCTTCATCATAGGCGCGTTGTCGTTGACATCTGTCACCAGGATCTCGACTCTGACGTCATTCCACAGAGGCGGGCTAGCCGCTCGGATGACCAGTTCGTACTTCTTGCGGGGACTCTCGTAGTCCAAGTCGACCATTGTGATCAGTTCTGCCTTGTCAGACCCTTGGCGCACTTCGAGGGAGAAGCTGTTGGAGTCATCACCGCCTGGGAGTGTAATAAAGAAATTGTAAAATAAATCCATAAAGGTCGAGTTTCAATAAACTTGTAAAAACAATAAATTCAATTTAAAAATGGCTCCCATTCAGAAGAGTGAAAGTGCGACCCTCTCTTTGTAAAATGTCATTGTGTCGCTGCGTGAAAATGAAGAGATCCGCAGAAACCAAAGTAACCGACATAGCCCGCAGAATTTCCAAACTCAAATAACAGTGGGCGGGGCATATAGCTCGTAGAACTAATGGCCGTTGAGGCAGAAACGTTCTCAAGAGGCGACCACAAGCTGGAAGGACGTAGTGTGGGCAGGCCTTTCACTAGTTGGACCGACGATCTGGTGAAGGTCAGCGCAGGTACAGTCGTTGTATAAATCCTTTGGCCTCCCTTTTTTCCAGCTGTGGAAGTCATTTAGCTGAAACGAACAAAAGTATAAACAGACATATAAAAGTACCTTTGATAGAATAATGCACCACAGCATTAACCCCCTCGTCAGGATCGTGTGCGTATATCTCCCCCACAGTGGTTCCTATAGGACTGTTCTCAGGCACGTAGAAGGTCAGGCAGTCGCTTTCGAAGACTGGCGGTGAGTCGTTGATGTCCTCCACTTTTATGTGCACGATCACCTGGGAAAGAGTTTGTGATGTTGTAAGAACGACTTCAGTTTACAGCGGAATTTATCGCGTCACTATTTATGTCGATGTAAAGATAAGTAAAAAGGAACGTTAAGAGTCTCTGGATCTTGAACGCTGTAGGAATCAAAATGCTATACATACAGGTCCCATTGAGGCCTTTCAAATTTTCAACTCGATTTCATAGCATCTGAACAACTTACCGTTGAACTCTGAAGCGAGGTTCCACCATCAATGGCCAGTGCCTTCAAGTCGTAAGTAGCCACAGATACTCTGTCCAGAGCCTTATTGGTTGTAATAACCCCTGAGGCGGAGTCGATGACGAAGGAACCTTGCTCTCCCTATTTCTGGTGTCGAGTTCGTAGTGAACCCTCCCTTCGAGGCCTTTCAACTTTCAACTCTATTATGTAGCACCTAAATATTACTTACCGTTGAACTCTGAGGCGGGGTTCCACCATCAATGGCCAGTGCTTTCAAGTCGTAAGTAGCTACTGATTCTCTATCCAGCGCCTTGTTGGTTCTTATGACGCCAGATGCAGGGTCGATGACGAAGGAACCTTCCTCCCTATCTCTGGTGTCCAATTCGTAGTGAACCCTCCCTTCGAGGCCTTTCGATTTTCAACTCTATTATGTAGCACCTAAATATTACTTACCGTTGAACTCTGAGGCGGGGTCCCGCCATCAATGGCCAGTGCCTTCAAGTCGTAAGTAGCCACAGATTCTCTGTCCAGAGCCTTGTTGGTTCTTATAACGCCAGATGCGGGGTCGATGACGAAGGAACCTTGCTCCCTATTTCTGGTGTCGAGTTCGTAGTGAACCCTCCCTTCGAGGCCTTTCAACTTTCAACTCTATTATGTAGCACCTAAATATTACTTACCGTTGAACTCTGGGGCGGGGTTCCACCATCAATGGCCAGTGCCTTCAAGTCGTAAGTAGCAACTGATTCTCTATCCAGCGCCTTGTTGGTTCTTATGACGCCAGATGCAGGGTCGATGACGAAGGAACCTTCCTCCCTATCTCGGGTGTCGAGTTAGTAGTGAACCCTCCCTTCGAGGCCTTTCGATTTTCAACTCTATTATGTAGCACCTAAATACTACTTACCGTTGAACTCTGAGGCGGGGTTCCACCATCAATGGCCAGTGCTTTCAAGTCGTAAGTAGCCACAGATTCTCTGTCCAGAGCCTTGTTGGTTCTTATGACGCCAGATGCGGGGTCGATGACGAAGGAACCTTCCTCCCTGTCTCTGGTGTCCAGTTCGTAGTGAACGCGGCCGTTGAGGCCTACGTCTGCATCTGTCGCGCTCACTTGAGTGACAGAAGTTCCTGAAGGAAATAAACATAGTCAATGGTGAAGAATTTCGACAATTTTAAATATCAAAATCTCCATTTTAGAGTAAGTAAGTATGAAGAACAAGACAAACGAAGATCAATTTTTTTTTAAATACTTTAATTAATTGGGTACAGTCGGATTCAAACTAAATGGTGGCTCGGATATTAGCTGCGAGTGCAAGTGCACGCAGTTTTCTTCGCCCCGCACGCTCGCTGATACCTAATATTGTGTACTGCGCCTGCGCAGCGACTCGTGCGATTTTCCAAGCCGCTTTAAAGTTTGCATCGGACTGTAGCTGATAATACCCTCTATACAGGGTGTTAGGTAAATGGGTAGGATGAGCCGACACTAGCCCATGTTAACATGGGCATATAAATGGTATGGTGAAGTCAGAAAATTGATATCTTCATTTTAATTATTTTATTTTTCATACAAATCGGATTTTATAAAAAAAAAATTGTATGAAAATTAAAAAAATTAAAATGATGATATCAAAAGACAATGCCGGAAATTGGCGTCTTTTTTTTTCGCGCAGCCATCAACCATACCATGTTTTTTGGTTACAAAATAGTGTAATAAACCAAACTTACTAAGACATGTATACCTCTAAACTCAGTCTGAACTGAGTTACGAGCATTAGAAGTTTGATGTTTTACATACTAAGATTTGCTTTTTGCGCGCAAGTTTTGTAAGAAATTGCAACAAAATTGCAAACAAAGGGTTTATTACACTATTTTGTAATCAAAAAATAAGGTTTGATCGATGGCCGCGCGAAAAAAAAAGACGCCACCTTCGATACAAAATCTGGCATTGCCATTTCTGACTTCACCATACCATTTATATGACCATGTTAACATAGGCTTGTGTCTGCTCATATACCCATTTACCTAACACCCTGTATACCTATGTGGAACCTTACATATAGGTTTCCAAGGATAAAATGCAGAATTTTTAGAAAAGCTGTGCTTTGAATTACATGTCAGATAATGTCTAATGAAACACTTTGATTGTGGAGTTTTCATGAATCTTACCGACTAAAGCGTCCTCCATAATGTTGGCGGTGTACAGTTGCTGCTTGAAGACGGGTTCGTTGTCGTTTACGTCTACGACGGATATCTCTACATCTGTCGTGTCAGATAGAGAGGGCACTCCGCCATCTCTGGCAGTTACTGTCAAGAGGTATCCTGTGAACAGAAATGTTTATTTATCTACTGTTTGATTCTCCCTTTTGTCGTAGAAATTGAAATGACAAACGTCATTTGCTGCACAAGTTGCACATTAGCCCTAACAAGTGGTAAAACATGACAGTTGTAATGTCAAAAGACGGCCAAAAGGCTTTAGCTCTGGCCTCTCCAATCCATCTTCTCCCAGCGTGAGGAGTGTAGACCAAATCCTCTATTTGCCTCAAGTAAATTAAAGAGGGTAATTTTCCTGCAGTGGAAACTGGATACGTGGATACAATATGTTCATTTATGTTATTTAAACTTAGTCCACTAACCGTCAGACGGACAGCGGTAGTATACTTGGGACCCTTTTGTGAACGAAATCCAGTAAAATAAATGTCACTCACCACTCATAGTTTCTCTGTCCAGCAGCTTATTCGTAGTAATGGCGCCAGTTTGCGGGTTGATCACGAACTCCTGGTCGTGGTGCGCCACCGCCTCGTTGGATATTTCCGAGCTGAGGCTGTATGTGATCTGAGCATTGACACCAACATCGCTGTCGGTAGCTGATACCACGAGGACTGTCGTGCCTATTGGTGCGTCTTCGAATACCTGGTGGAATGATTGGGTTTATAAACAAAAGACTGTAAAAGTCAGTCACCTTTGTGTGGAAAGAAAGACACAGCTTAGAAATATCATACGCCGCGCGCGCAGCGTTAAATAGTTCGTGATCGTGACACCCAAAGTAGTCAAAAAGTTTGCAACACTTCTTTGCTACATTGGAATAAAGTTGCGTCATGTAGTCTTCTCCTTCTAGTCGTGTCGACAACAAACCTAATACAGTGCCAGCTCAAAACTCCGCTACAAGAGTGGCGTTGTATGTAGTGTTGTCATCTTTTTGGCCACTTTGGGTGTTACGGACTATTTGATGCTGACTGTACCTTACGTTTGACGCTAGAATACTCCAGCAACGTTACATATTTTAGTAGATCAGAGGTAGTCAATTTACTCAAGTAATATGGGTAAACTTTTGTAAAACTATGCATAGTATGGTGAAACTGGGTCCAAGTCCCTAGAATCTAGATTTTTCTACGAAACGAAAAATGAAACTTACCGCAGCAGTATAAGGTGCGTTTTCAAACACCGGCGCGTAGTTGTTGGCATCAGTGATGTTGATGTGGACCATAGCAGTGTCAGAACGGCCGCCACTGTCGGTAGCAGTGACAGTAAGAACGTATCGCCTTTCTTGCTTGAAGTCTAGTGGCTGCGCGACTGTGATAAGTAAGACCCCGCCCATTCTGTTCGTTCTAACATTGGAAAATGGAACTCACCGCAGCAGTATAAGGTGCGTTTTCAAACACCGGCGCGTAGTTGTTGGCATCAGTGATGTTGATGTGAACCATAGCTGTGTCAGAACGGCCACCACTGTCTGTAGCAGTGACAGTGAGTACATATCGCCGTTCTTGCTTGAAGTCTAGTGGCTGTGCAACTGTGATGAGTCCACGCCCGTTTTGGGATGTGATGGAGAATCGACCGCGGGTGTTGCCACCGGTGATTTCGTAGTGCAATCTATGACAAACAATCGAACATTAATGGTTATGAAAATCTTTGTGTACATCATCGTAAGCAATTCTATTCTGAATGACCCATTGTCAACTAATAAAAATATATTAAGGAAAGTTGAATTTGCTTTAGGGCGCTGGGGGAGTCCTAATGTTGACATATTCTTTCTTGATCTTACCGATTGTCCTCGTCAGTATCTGTAGCCGTGACATGGAGGCTCTCCCCTGCCCCCCCCCCCCTCTATTCGGTACGCCTATGATCTCCAATGCCTTCCTTGATCTCACCTTTTATCTTCATCAGCATCCGTAGCCGTGACGGTGACGAGCGGCGTGCCGGGCGGCTCGTCCTCGGCGATTTCCACGTCATACTGCACCGGCGCGAATACAGGATCGTTGTCGTTGACGTCTTGGATCACCACTACCACTGACGCTGTGGCGTGGTCAGCATAGGCGTACTCAACGTCTGGTTTAGCTCATTGCATGTCATAGGAGACTCTCCCCTGCCTCCCCTCGATTTGGTACGCCTATGATCACCAATGCCTTGATCTCACCTGTTATCTTCATCAGCATCCGTAGCCGTGACGGTGACGAGCGGCGTGCCGGGCGGCTCGTCTTCGGCGATCTCCACGTCATACTGCGCCGGCGCGAATACTGGATCATTGTCATTGACGTCTTGGATTACCACCACCACTAACGCTGTGGCGTAGTCAGCATAGGCGTACTCAACGTCTGGTTTAGCTCATTGCATGTCATAGGAGACTCTCCCCTGCCCCCCCTTCGATTCGGTACGCCTATGATCATCAATGCCTTGATCTCACCTGTTGTCTTCATCAGCATCCGTAGCCGTGACAGTGACGAGCGGCGTGCCGGGCGGCTCGTCTTCGGCGATCTCCACGTCATACTGCGCGGGCGCGAATACAGGATCGTTGTCATTGACATCCTGGATTACCACCACTACTGATGCGGTGGCAGAACGGGGCGGGGTCCCGCCGTCGGTAGCTGTCACCTGTCGAAGGGTCATCATGTTTATTTGGTTGTTACGGTGTTGTTGTGTAGACTCAGTGTTCCGCAAAATTTTTGTGTTCAAGGTAGGTACATCTAGGAAAACGAATTTTTTTGGAGGTGCACCACTCGTGGACAAACATTTTTTAAGTAATTACCTTTATTAGTTAAGACTAATGGTGTGCCGAGGCATACCATCTAATGACCACGATACACCAGTGTGACGCGGTACACCGTTTGCGGAACACTGGTGTAGACTGTAGTATGGATTTCATCAACTTCTTAGCTTTTAATTAAATACTCGATTAACTCTGTTGAGTATAAGAAGAGGTAAGCAAGTGGAGGTATTTAGAGAATTTGATCAATTTTTAACAAAAAAAATATTATTGAAAGTCTTCATTGGTGTTTGAACATAAAAAAAAATCTGTAAAAGATCCCTCTCCTTAGTCGCAAATTAAATTATTAAAGGTCACACAGAAAGAGTTGAGGCGATTTTCGAGGCTTTTAAAAAGACTGTCTGCGAAAGACTCACATTAAAATTTTCAAAAGTATCTAGAAAAACATCATAGCTTACCTGCAGCTGGTATTTGGCCTGTGTCTCGCGGTCCAGCTGCCCCGAGGTGTAGACCCAGCCGGATCGCGGATCGATGGTGATGGGCAGCTCGCTTCCACTATACTCCTTGTCCGAAAGGGTGTCACAGCAGGAAACAATAAGAAGTAATGAGATCTTACCTGTAGTTGGTATTTGGCCTGCGTCTCGCGGTCCAGCTGCCCCGAGGTGTAGACCCAGCCGGATCGTGGATCGATGGTGATAGGCAGCTCGCTTCCACTGTACTCCTTGTCCGAAAGGGTGTTACAGCAGGAGCCAGACAGAAGTAATGAGATCTTACCTGCAGTTGATATTTGGCCTGCGCCTCGCGGTCCAGCTGTCCCGAGGTGTAGACCCAGCCGGATCGCGGATCGATGGTAATGGGCAGCTCGCTTCCACTGTATTCCTTGTCCGAAAGGGTGTCACAGCAGGAGCCAGTAAGAAGTGATAAGAGTTTACCTGCAGCTGATATTTGGCCTGCGCCTCGCGGTCCAGCTGTCCCGAGGTGTAGACCCAGCCGGATCGCGGATCGATGGTAATGGGCAGCTCGCTTCCACTGTATTCCTTGTCCAAAAGGGTGTCACAGCAGGAGCCAGTAAGAAGTAATGAGATCTTACCTGCAGCTGGTATTTGGCCTGTGTTTCTCGATCCAGCTGTCCCGAAGTGTAGACCCAGCCCGATCGCGGATCGATGGTGATGGGCAGTTCACTTCCACTATACTCCTTGTCCGAAAGTGTGTACGTCAGCTCAGCGTTGACGCCTTCGTCCGCGTCGTAGGCTTGCACCTGAATTTAATAAAAATGAATGTTTTGTTTTAAGTTATGCCAAATTTGAAACAGCAGGGCTAGGACTAGCAATGCTGTCATGCATGGATGAAACGATATGATCTTATAGTGGTATTATAATATCGACTTTAGACAATATGCATAGATACATTTAAAGTCATAGTTTAATGTACACGATTTCTAAGGCATGTTTGAAACCATCATTTCGCCGACTACCTCTCACATAGGACTAGGTATGCGTTCAATGTAAGTTAATTCATTTACCTATGTAGGTATCATCTATACTTGTAATAAATCTGTAGAGGTCAATTCTGTACATGAAATATATTTTCAAAATAACTATCAGGGGGTGATAAGTGATCGATACTGATGGCAAAAATGCAATCAGTAATTTTTTTGTCTGTCTGTCTGTCCGTCTGTATGTTCCTTATAGAAACAAAAATTACTCAACAGATTTTAACGAAACTTGGTACAATTATTCTTCATACTCCTGGGCAGGTTATAGTATACTTAGGAATTCCCACGGGAACAGGAATTAGCGGGAAAATCCTTTTGTATGAAAAATCTAAACCGCTTAAGTTAGACGCTTGAAATTTGGCATGCAGGTACCTTAATAAACTTAAAGCTTAGTTACAATAGGATATTGCAAAATTCCCACGGGAACGGGAGTTAGCGGGAAAAAACATTTGTATGAAAAAATCTAAACCGCGTAAGATAGATGAAGGGGGTAAAACGGGATCCACCCCAAGTAACATTTTACTCCATTTAAGAGTTCAATAGTCGTTCACATGTACTCCACAAGCTGTGTATGTCAGCTGTATACGAGCTGTATAGCTTGCTATAATATAATGCTTTTATAGAACCAGTTTGGGCACAAATTAGACAGCTTTAAGTTCACTATGGCTGTACATTAGCAGTATAATAGCATTATAATAGCAGTTTAAATAGTAACATCGTACTTAAGGCTGACTTACGGCACTATATGGGACGCAGTGTGAACCATACAACGTACGTGAGAACAATAAAGAGTAACAAGTGGCTAAATGCACAGCTTTCAAAGTTATAAAGTCCGACAAAAGTACTCCAATGCTACATAAAGTTCACGTGTGTCCTAAATTATTTCCACATTTTAATATTAGTTTGGTATTTGTACGTGAGTGCCAAGAGGAAACAACTCGGGCGGATAATATAATCATTTATGCAAATAATAACACGGGTTTTAAATACTTAATAATGTTAATGCCATTGGGAATGCAACTTTATCGTGAAATGTATACATATTTACAGCTAAAATATTTACGCGCCTCTGTAAAAACGCGATATTCATTTTAAAATATTTAAAACTGGCTGAGAGGAAATCTACAATTTTCAGTTTTTGATATTGTATTGGCATTATAATTATACTACGGTAATTAATTATAACATGAAACCAAAACTCAATCGCTCTATCTGCGAATTTTGTGATAAATCTGCATTAATTTTGGAGATTTATTTGGTAAATATTTTAGGTTATGTAGAACAAAATGGTGGAAATGAAATACGGCTATGTGAACTGTTATAACTCCAATTTAATGCGGTGAGCGTATATTAGGTTCACATGTGTTCTGTTAGAATGCTGTTATCTATATTAAGTTCCACATTTGTACCACTACAGCGCTAATGTCTATAAATTTATTCTAATGTGAACTTATGTACAGCTTTAAGATGTACCTAGTTCAGGTCAATTGTGTATCTTTAATTCTTTCAAATACTGAAATTTTAGAGATCCGCAATAAAAATTATTAATGTCCGTTAAATCGCCTAGCCCAGGTACTAATAGTCAAGTATGAATACCTAAAGCATCAGACGGTAGTGTTCCCGGTTTAAATTCGTTTATTATGCCTGACAATTTATTCAAAGCGGAATGAGGAATACGATTTTCAATAGCCCATGTTCTTATTTTTTTGCTAAAGGTTAAATAATTGTCTAAATCAAAATTGTATTCACTATCACTAGAACTGCAATCATCACACTCTGATATCTGTATATTTTGAAGGGAACTTTCAGGTTCAGGCATAATATTTTCCTCTGCATCATGTACAGAACCACCATAAATACAACTAAAAACAGGCTTGGGGAAAAGTGTAATAGAATATCACATTCACATTCATTTTCAGCTTAAAGCAAATAAGAGTAGTACTTGTGGACAAATAAACTGCTATTGATGTTAATGGACAACACATATAGTCCTTTTAACAGCCTACAGTGCACATGCGAACCATTGAAACACTTTTGTACAGATAGTAAAAAAAGGTTATTTTATTAACAGAAACAAGTCCTACTACAGCTACTAGCTGTATAACAGTCTAAAACAAGTAAACATAACAGCCTTTGGCTTTATAAATGACCACGTGTGTTCTATTAAAATGCTAGCTCTATAACATCGTACAAGTAGGCCGTTAAACAGCGGTTGCCGTATTTCTACCCTCCTATAATGCTCTTAGTCAGACGGCTGACTAAAGGATAGTTGTTAGAGTATTATAACACCAACAATCGTATAAAAGTATAACTCTACACTAGTCTACACTCCTATAAGTCCCTTAGACAGGTATAGGTGTAATTAATTGCAATAATACAGCTTATACATCACGAGTGAACTGTACTAATGCTTTAAGTACACATTGGAACTAAATGTGAACTCTTAAATGGAGTAAAATGTTACTTGGGACGCGTACGAAGTCGCGGGCGGCTGCTAGTACAAGATAAAACAATAATTATTAATACACCGATGAGTCAGTTTATAATATGCTAGATCGAATAATAATGCAAATATTTAAATTACCGGTTAGGATTAAATAGATTCAAGGCTTTTATCAACTAAAATATAACCAGTTTTCTCCTTACCCTGACAATACTATATCCCACGGGCACATTCTCGCTGACTGACTCTTGGAACAGCGACGTGTAGAACCTGGGCGAGTTGTCGTTTACGTCGCGGACGTTCACCAACAGCTGGGTCGTGTTGGAGCGGGATGGGCTGCCTCCGTCTGAGAGAGATAAAAGTCAAATAAGAACGTTTTTAAGAAACTACCTAAGACACATACGAGTAACTTGCAATTTCTAACAAATATCCTGAGCTTAGATAAGACATTGTACCTACTTTGTATCAACTGGATTATCCAAACGGCTTGAAGAAGCACACAGTGATATCTGATACCGAGCTCACACGAAGGAAGAATAAAAAGTCAACCAAAATATTGACTTGGCGGCAATTTTTTTTAAGAGTTAGACGAGTGGTATGCGTAAGACAATCCCTTAGGGCCTTGCTACACTGGCGGATTGCAAGAGGAGCGGCGCGGCGGCGCGGCGGGCAAGCCGCGTTCACCAAAATGCTTGTAAAATGCCGCGGCGTACCGCGCCGCGCCGCTGCTCCGCCCAGAAAACCTTATAAAGATTGAGTATTTATCCAACTTCGCTTAGTTTTGGACCAGAAATTGGCATTTCTTTCTTCAAAATATTCAAGTGAATTATTACCTTGCGCCCTTATAACAAGCCTGTAGCTCCTCAGCTGTTCATAATCCAGCGGTTTGACCAGAGACACATCCCCGCTCAGACTGTCGATGGAGAATTGCATCTGCGTGTTGCCGCCGATGATGGCGTAGCGGATCGCTGCGTTCGCACCGACATCCGCATCTGTTGCTCTGTGGACAAAGGTTCAGTTATGTATAATGATGATGATGATTAATCCTTAATCTGATCGAATTCGGCCATGGTGATCACTTCGACTTCTAACTGACTGAAAATGGCCTACAGCTGCTGATCTTCGTAGTTCGAGTTTAAAGTATACAAAAAACTTTACTATTAAATTATTTTTCGGGTAAAAATATTTTGTTGGAGGGGAACTGATTTAAATGGGGCTCTCCTTGTAAGAAAGAAAAAATGGGAATCCCATATACTACTCGTATATGGCATATAGTTTCTGCCGTTCAATAAAAATATAAATTATAAATCTAAAATAATTTTGCTATCGCGAAAATTGGAATCAGCGAAACAATTTTCACGCGTATACGAAGCTTAACTTTAAAAAGCAAATTGTATGGCCTACTATAATTTTTTTTTTATCCACAACGAGGAAGCTCGAATTTCGCAATACTAAGCAATTTGTTACTTTTGTATAGTTTTATAATTAAACAATTTTCCCACAAAATAACGTGTTGTGCAATATGATAAACTATTCAAAGACACTCGTACCTTGATTAAAGTTTAATAGCTAACAAGAATCGATTACACCCACAGAATTGCAAATCAATATTTGATCTAAGTTCAGGCAACGGCCATATTGCGTGAGTTGCATCTAAGATGCAGTTTGCAATGTTATGCGTTTATTGCTAAGCCATATTGCCTATGGTCCGTGCCAGCTGCCAATAGAAACTGACAATTTTGGGAGTAAAGAGAAGCGATACCAAATGTATAGATGACCCATGCTGAACTGTCCCACCAAACTCAATGACAGGAGGGCGCTACCATCGTTCAACTATATGGTTTCCGACATGGCAAAAATCGGAACCAGCGATCCGGTATTGACGGTGGCGCCCCCCTGTCAATGTCATGCATAGGACAGTTCAGTATTTCGGAACTATAAACAAACCCTATTTCATGAGTGAACCCGTCTGACTTTGACATATTTTGGCGGGGAGAACGAGACATTACGACAAATACACAAGATGGGAAGAGACAGAATATTTGTCAACTCGACAGTCGTATCGACCTTTTGTACCTATCGCTGCTAGTTAGCCGTACCTACTCTAGATAAGATGAAACAGACATAAAGATGTTTGACTGTCTAAGGCCAGGTGTCTACCAAGGTGGAGCGGAGAAGTAATTTGAAGAACCAATCAGATTTTATTCATTCCATTTGTCTTCTCCGCTCCGCACTGCTGTCAATTTCTATAGAAAAATTCGTCCGCCCGATTCTTCTCCACTCCGCTCTGCTTTGCTGCGCCTTGATGGAAACCGGGCCTTACTTTGCTTTACTCCTAACTTTGCTTTACTTTGCAATCAAAAACAGATACAAAGACAGTTCGGTATCCATGTCATGTTTTATCTGTCACAAAAATTGCCGGTTTCTGTTGGTGTGGACTAAAGAAATCGTCGATATTCGTGTTATAAACGTAGATAGTGATAGGTAAGTTTGCAAACGAGATTAAAACTTAACAAACAACTGTATAATTTGGTTTTGTACATTCCTAATGATGTGCTATCATAGAATCTAAGTGTGCTATAATGAAAAATCTAATTTACCGGCACAAATGTCATGCATAAATAAATACTTATGAATATACAGAATAAAATTGATTAAATAAATGTATTTGATTTAGGATTTATTTCATCAGATCTAGGGTAGGTACCTACGAAGTTCCAAGTTATTTATTTCGCCTAATTTTGTTCAGATATTAGATTATACTACGGCTTCCAGTATTCACGAGCTACTTTAAAGACCAATCAATCATAATCTTTCATATCCTTTTGGTAAGAGGGTTTAAGATTTATGTTTCAGGGTATAATCAAAATATCAATCAAAATTACACATTTTTATATGACAGAGTACAAAAGGCCAATTTATGCAACACCAAAATTGCCATATTGCTTACTCTAAAGATAACATAAATATTCTTTTGAAAGAAGAATAAGTACTTACTCGTAACCTCATTTGTGAGTGTTCAATATCTTGTTCAAAGAACCATCAGTACGATTTATGGTCATGAAAATTCAAGGAGCTTGGAGAGAAACCAGGATTAATGGGAAAAAGATGGGAGATCTAAGTATATTTCCTTTTAATGGTCTGCACTCTACCAGGCCTTGTCTACTCGATATTTATTGACCTCTTGATATTTATTTTAAAAAGTATACTTTTGATAAGTTTCAAAACTGTTAATTAGAAATATATTTTGTAAAGTAACACTCGTGTAAGCTGTATTTATTTCAGGAGGCCCGTAGAAAGGAAAGGTACGGAGATATATGCGAATTCAATACTCAATATGTTTATTGCTTCCTTCGTCTGACCAGAGTGGGGTTTGTGTATAGGCCAGCTGGTCCAGAAGACGCGTTTTTGCCTACTCGTGCGATTTTTGACGTACTAAAGGTTCACACATTTTGCCCACCTGCAGTCGCGCGTTTTGCTGATGAAAACGGGCGAGTAAAACGTGCTATCTAGACCTACCAGCTCTTCAGGTTCGTCCTCCTACAGTAAAGACTAAATGTAGAGTATGTAGAATGTAGACACTTGATGATGATGAACAAATCTTACTTGATTCTCGCAACGACCGGGTTGTCAGCTACGCTGATGTCCTCATCCACCGTGACTGTGTACGTCTTCTCGCTGAACTGCGGGTAGTTGTCATTGTCGTCCAAGATATTCACGTGGATTGTCGCTCTGTTGAGAGAAAATATATCAGTAAATTAATTATTTTAAAATTAAATTAGTACTTACATACTAAAGCTGGGTTGCACCATCTTACTTTAACTTTGACAAACGTCAAAAATCTGTAAAACTCCATACAAGAAGCACCGGTTAGCGTTATAGTTACCGTTAAAGTTAGGTGGTGCGGCTCAGCTTATGTTAGATTCTTAGCGTTATACTTTTATTTCACTCGACACAACTTCCATCGTTTGTGTTAAAATATAAATGTGTATTTCATACATAAAAGAAAGAAAGTCTTCGGTAAAAACATTAATTGCGATGATGAAAGACTTCTGAAATAATTACCTTATCAATTTAATTAAAGGGACAGCGTTAATTAGATGTTTTTGATGTCGAAAAATGTAAAGTTAAGTTACAAAGTCACAACCAGTAAATGAATACTTTTATGTGTTAAATATCTTTGGTCTAAGGTTTCATAATGAACTTTCATTCTAAGTTGATAAATAATATGTATTAAAATAAAATAATAAATAATAGTACAAAAACTATTGTATCTGACGACATAAAAAACCGCCATGTTTGTAAAAAAAATCTATATTTCCCGCCAATTTTTATTACCGGCCAGGATTTACCAAAAAGTATCGATTTTAAAAAAGAACTCACGTCTAGAGAGTGGATCGGTGGCCTTGACAATCATGACAGTGAAAAACTTTTTCTGTTTCCCGCCAAATAACCTGGCAGTGGCAGGATTCAAAAAAGTATTTATAAAAAAGAACTCACGTGCTAGAAAGCCGATCGGACACAGGGCTGGCTTGATCGGTGGCCTTGACGATGACAGTGTATCTGGCCACTTTCTCTCTATCCAGGGAGGCCCTGGTTAGCAAGGCGCCGCTTCTTCCATCCACCCTGAACACATCCTGGATGTCGGACTGCTCGGAACTGACGTCTATTGACTCGTTGGCGTCGTCTGGATTGAGGTTCTCTGCTATCACCGATTCGATTGAGTATTCCACCTGTAGAAAATATGCAATTAAAATATAGTAAAGAACACGTAGGGGACAAAGAATTTAGTTCAATTTTAGTCTGAATTTCCAAGAACTGTACGTGTGACGTAAAGGTCGTATAATGAAACATCGCAGAGATATTTCATATTATTCAGTCTTTCATGTTAATATTATATCGAGGAAATGAGGAACGCAGGTACCTCCTTGAATTAAATATATTGTATGGAAACTCGTAACTTTTATCTCAGTCAAATTACAATACTATGTAGTTAGAAGAGCACAATCAACTAAATAAATAGAGAATCTAGTAGTAGTAAATGCGTTGGCTTTGTTTGTAATAAGCACTAGGGCAAGGCTGCTCGATCCCAGACCCGAAGAATTTTAAGTGGCCCGCGCAAGTGTGGTTAGATCTTAATACTTAATGAGTTTTGATTGCGGTTGTCCTGAGAGTAACTGAAATAGGACATGTAAGTGGCCCGTCGTTAACGATTGAATCCACCGTTTGGCCCAACTCTTTAAAAGGTTGAGCAGCCTTGTACTAGGCGGAGAGATACTTACTTCAGCGTTCTTGCCGATATCCTGGTCGGTAGCCTTGAGGGTCAGCACGGTGGTGCCGGGACTGGCGCCTTCCCTCACCGACGCCTCGTATTGCTGCATCTCGAATACGGGCGCATGGTCGTTGCAGTCCAGGACATTGATCTAAAAATATTTGAAATAAGGTACTTGATACAAATAAGGCCTACCTAACTTTAAATGCTTATATTTCAATAAATATTAACGCCAGTCAACAAAAACAAGGTTAATTAACTTCTTCCATCCTTTAATTTTAGCAATATTACAAAAAATAACAAAATTTTTAACTAAATCTACTCAAATTAAGCAAATTACGAAACCACTGATTTTGGCTTTAATAAATCACCTACACGGAATAAGGCCTATAAGATTCAAATGCCTCTAGACCTTAAAATTGAGGTTGTATTAAACAAAATGCGGTCTTATAACATTAAACACGTCGATTTGTTTGCGTTATCAAAATTTTTCATACCAAGTAAACAGAAATATACTGTATATCTCTAGATAAACTTAAATTCCATTTATTAAGAATAATACATAAATCTATATCTATTTATATAAAAGAAAGTCGTGTTAGTTACTCCACTTATAACTCAAGAACGGCTGAACCGATTTAGCTGAAAATTGTCAGGGAGGTAGTTTAGAGCCAGGAGAAGGACATAGGATACTTTTTATCCCGTTCGAAATTAAAAAAAAAGTCTGCTTATTTATTGTCATTAAGGCGGAACAAAGTTCGCCGGGTCAGCTAGTTATAGATAAAATTAAATATTCATAGTAACAAAGTAATGATTCCTTACTTAAATGATCAAAAAAAATATCAAAAACAAACAATATTATTTTTGTGTATAGGGCTTATTAAAACACCGTGTTCGAATAAGGCCTACACATAAAACCTTTTAAATAAATCAGTTCAGGAACATCATTTAGTCTTGATTTTTTGTAAACAAAATGAGATCTCAATTTTTGTTAGAACCAGGGCATAAAAAGGCTTCTGAATCATCTTTACGAACTCCTACACAATCTTTGTGATACCACCAAAAACAGTCCTTTATGATCGCATATCTGCTACATTGTCTTCGAGACAGGCATGATAATACCAGCTTTTATTCTCCTTTCCTTTAGAATTATACATACGACTTTTATTTCTTATTTTTTATTGTTTTTGTATTTTGTTTCCTTTTTTTACAGGTTTTGTAAATTTTTTCGACTCTGTTTTCTTTTTATTTTCTGTGCTGTTAGTAACATTCTTATTAAATAAATATTTAGTTACTCTTTGACTCATTTAGTTTAATGAATTTGTCCATAATCAGGTGTTAACATAAGTATCTAATATGGCTTACTATGCTGAAATAAGGCCTAGGCCTTATTAGATATCTTGCTCTTGTTGTCTTTAAGAAATTACAAATAATGCATCTATAGCCAGTAGTAAAAATTAAGGTAATTATTAGCTAGTAAGAAATATTTAGAAACAATTACTAAGAAAAGCTTAATCTAAAACAGCGTCATTTTACCGAAAATGTAAGATGAAATCGCCAGATTTTTAAAAGAGAGCACGAAATCACCCACCACCTTAGAAGAACGCGTGCCAATTGGTGCTGGGATCGTGGATCGGGACGCTCTTGTACTCTACCGGGTTGTAAGGCATATGAGTACGTGTCCTTGAAGTATTATCCCGGTTGGATTTATTTATCTGTGTTTTCTGATGTGTAGGCCTTATTAGAACGTAGGCCTTATTTGTATCAAGTACCTTAGGTGTTATTTCTGAACGGCTTACAATTCTTTTTTTGTTTAGCTTAATTATTGAGACTCTCTGTAAATAACAGAAGTGTGTGCAGTGCATCCGAATTTTTGGGGAACCCTAAATACCTACTTACAAGATAAGCATTTCCCTGGATTTTCCTGATATTTACACAAACATACTGTAAATCCTGTTATGTAGGGACCAGATTTAACTGCTCGGTATCTAATTTAGTGCGTGCGTTTTCAGTGACGGTTGTGGCGTAAGTATTCGAGGAGCCTCATAGGTGATGAAATTTTATGTAAACAACAGCACACTTGGCATGTTATGAACTTATAAGTATGATTTGTATAAAAAGTAAATAACTGAAGTGCGGTTGATCATACATCCAATATCATAAAACCCACCTGTAGAGTAGTGGTCCCGCTTCTAGGCGGGAAGGTGTCATCCTGCGCCACGACTCTGAAGTAATGCACGTCCAGCCTCTCTCTGTCCAGTCGCGCCTGGGTGGTGACGACGCCGGTGCGAGTGTCTACAGCGAACATGCCGGCTGAGCGGGAGTCCAGTAGGCTCGACATGATTGTACAGACACTAGCACATCAGACTATGTTCACCAGTCGATGAAGCACATGATGTCGTGCCCTGCGTACCCAAACGACTGCACGCAGGAAGATTTAATGAAGGCTTCTGATAACGCCATTCTTGTGGCGGAGTTTTGGGCCGACGCTGTGTAGGTTTGTTGTCGAAACGACAAGAAGAAAGAAGATCAGACTATGCAGTTTTGTAGCAAAATCGCGCCTATTCTAACGGGCATAAGACGCCATTTAGTTATGCTAGATGCCGTCGACTATATCCAATATCTAAACTCACCTGTAGAGTAGTGGTCCCGCTTCTAGGCGGGAAGGTGTCGTCCTGCGCCACGACCCTGAAGTAATGCACGTCCAGCCTCTCTCTGTTCAGTCGCGCCTGGGTGGTGACGACGCCGGTGCGGATGTCCACAGCAAACATGCCGGATTATTGTGCAGACTCTAGCACATCCGACTATGCAGTTTTGTAGCAAAAGTGCACCTATTCTAACGGACATAAGACGCCATTTTGTTTTGCTAGATGCCGTCGACTGTATTCAATATCTAAACTCACCTGCAGGGTGGTGGTCCCGCTCCTAGGCGGGAAGGTATCATCCTGCGCCACGACCCTGAAGTAATGCACGTCCAGCCTCTCTCTGTCCAGTCGCGCCTGGGTGGTGACGACGCCGGTGCGAGTGTCCACAGCAAACATGCCGGCTGAGCGGGAGTCCAGGAGGCTCGACATGGAATACGTCACTGGACTGTTCTCGGGATCGCTGCAGGAGAAAAGGTTTACATGAAAGACCTGCTATTGTTTTTTTATGCACAACGAGGAAGCTCTTGGCCTGCATCTCACTTGATAGAAAGTGAAGATCAGGTCGAAGATATTGTTTCGTCATTTTAAAATGAGACTAATCACCGATTGTGTCTAATAGAGATCGTAAACGCTTATTGTTTACCAGGTTAGCAGGGCATGGTAAAAAATATTATAAAGATTTCATATTCATTTCACATTCAATTGACGATAATGATGACATTATGAGCTTTATACTGACATGAAGATTATAAGAGTTACCGACATCAATCAAATGTAAATCAAAATGATACGCGAGGAGAACAAAATTAGGACTGAAAATAATGGCTCAACCACAAATTACTGTTATGTAAGTAATAGTTATTGACCAATCTTTTAACCAGATTATTTTAACGGCTCCATTCGCACGTTCTCTAAAACAAGTATTTTATCCTAAAACGTTATTACGAGTGTAAATACCACAAGCGTAGCACCCATTACTGCGGTCGGATATGACATATGGGTGATGCGAGCTCACTTAAATTGTATCACGAGCGAGCAAATTGATAGGATTTCTAATGTGTGGCCATTTTGCGACATTATGAAGTAATTCGTTCGTAAGTGGATCAGCAAGGATTGAACTATCAAGGATCGGGTACTGTATCAACTAAGGGCTGATTTTTCAATCGTCGGATAACTTTTAACTGAGGAATAAGTTTGACACATTGATAGTTTCAGTATGGGAAATGTGTCAAAATGACAAGTTTATTCTACAGATAAAAGATATTTGAAGATTGAAAAATCGGGCCTAAATCAATTAAATAACACTAAAGTAGAAAGTTAAACTAAACATTAAAACCCCAGCGGGCTTCGTTGTAGTTAGTTAGTAGTAAACAGATCGTGAAGGAACATCGAAACTACACAGTTGTAAAAGAGACGACTTAATAGCACAATTAGTCAACACTTAGGTATTAGGTATATACTCATCAATTGTCTTTCGTTATCCTCACCAAATCCTCATCCTCATTATTATGAGAATACATAGATTGACTGTTCAGTCGAAGCGCAGGGAGCCCGCCGTATTGTGGGCGATAATGATCGTGCCATATAAAAATACCGCGTCACCGATACAAATTAAAGCGGTTTGCATAGGGTTGAACAATCCCTTTTCATAGTAACTACCTGATACATTATGTAGAATGTTGTTATTAGAATTGTCGTAGTTATGTTTAGGCGCATTGCAATCATCATCATCATCATCATTTCAGCCATAGGACGTCCACTGCTGAACATAGGCCTCCCCAATGACTTCTACAAAGGCCGGTTGGTAGCGGCCTGCATCCAGCGCCTTCCTGCTACCTTTACGAGGTCGTCGGTCCACCTTGTGGGTAGACATTCTACACTGCGCTTTCCGGTAGGTACGTGGCCTCCAGAACTACTCCAGAACCTTGCTGCTTCATCGGCCGTCAGTTCTGCATAATGTGTCCTGCCCATGGCCACTTCAGCTTGCTAATCCGTGGGACATTGAAATAATTTTGAGGACAATTTCTCGAATTTTTTACCCATTCACAGATTTTTTGTAAAAGATTAGCTTCTTAAAACATTTAAAACACATTTTTTGTGCAGCTACGCTTTGTAAAAAAAAGTTCTTGCTAATCGTAGGTTGGCAAAAACGGTATGAAATAAAATTCGTCAAACCATTTGGAGAAGTTTTTACGAACATAACGGAATGCGTGGGTGAAATCGTGCTTGAAAAGAACAGCGTTAGCACTATGATCAACAAAGTTAGAACTTAGTTTTAGTATAAATGGACTTGTCATAGCTAAACCCACAAAACGCTGTTCTTTGTGTTGTTAATTAATTTGTAATTTAATCGGCGTAATCAAAACTGCTTTTACTTTTGGGTGAGAAAAGAAATTGGCAACTTTTTCATACAAATAGCAACTAAACATCGAATGTGGATGAGCCTTTATTATTACCTATTTTCCATATTTATGGATCTTTGTTGTAAGTATGACTTTTTCGATATTAAATTAGGTATTTATTTTCTCTGTAGGGTTCAAAGTTCGCCTAGAAATGTTTCGTATTTGCAAAATCGGACACCCCTACCGTGCGCGGTTTAACCTTATTGCAAACGGGCGCATTGTCTGGCGACGCGTGCAATGGCTCATGACAATGGTTCCGGGCATAAAATAGATGACTTCATAAAAGCTCAACGAGCCGGCGTACAGTCAATTAACGTGCTCGTACAGCTGGTTTATGATCAGGTGCCGACCAAACCGCTGATTAGGACCATTCCCGGGAGTCATCGACCTAAGCAACAAAAAGGTTATCGAGCGAGCACGTAGCAAACTGTTGTTTGACTTTTGAAAAACAATGGCACTGGAGCGTGTAATACAATCATTGGGAGCTTCGAAAACAAATTATCTTTGCTTGTTTTACAACCTTTCTAGTTCAGTGAGACAAAAAATACATACCGTGCTCGAACTGTAGTGACCACGACTCCCGGAGGCTGCTCCTCAGCAACAGAAGCCACGTACAAAGCTTGTTCAAAATAAGGCGACTGATTCCGCAACTCCCTCTTCACCCGCTTCGCAATATCAGTGTCGTTCAGCTCCTGGTGATGGTACACTATCTTCAGCCGATGATCAGAGTCCACTATATTAGTCCGGTCACAGTTGAACGTGAACAGAACTGACACTTTCCACATTGGCTCCTGGATACACACATCACCACTGGCCACTAAATCGCCTTGACTAGTCTCGATCATAAACCGAGGATCGCTCACTGCTAGAAACTGCACTTTACACATCTTCTGTACTGTCCGCGGTAGGAAAGCCGTCAAAGAATTCACAAATTGAGATTTTCTCAAACAGATTCCTTGCCACCTATCCGTGGTTGGTATCGAGAAGCTGGCGTACGTCTCAGATATCCATTGTTTAGCTTCGGCTATTTTCACATCTACGGCCATGTCGAAAGGTACTAAAGTATGAGATCGTTTCTGCCTTCTACTTCTATTTCTTGCTGCAAAATCTTCGAACATGGCAGCGGACCACGGATAGGCCGTGGAGAGTACACTATAATGACTAGTTTCAAGCTCCTCCTCCTCAAATAGCCTCCAGTCCATCGGTTCGGAGAATACTGCTCTCTTATCCCTGACATGGTCGTCTTCGTACTGTAAAGCCGAGTCCTCCTGGTCGTAGACTCTGTCGAAGTCGATGTCATAGAGATCGGCATGTCGTCTGCTGCAGTCCTCACCGGTGACTAAGACTCGTATAGGTAGACTGTAGTAGTCGATGTCGCGAATGCGTTCGGATGTGGAATCGACGTAAAAGGTGAAGATGTTGGGATAGAGGACGCCATCGCATCTGAGTCGTTTGCGAAGAGAGACGAGGCCGGTGGTTCTGTTGACCCTGATGATGTGGTGGACGAAGTTGGCGGTGCGGTGGACGTCGATGGTGTAGGTGCGCTCGGAGCCGAGCTTGTAGACGGCGGCGTCGAGGACGGTGTGGCCGGGCGGCGCGGAGTCCGGCACCAGGACCAGGTAGCCGTGCGCGGCCGCGGCCAGCAGGAGCAGCGCCAGAGGCAGCGTCGGCGCCATGGTGGGCTGGCTTCACCTGCAGTGCCGCCGTCGCGTCCGCCAGCTGCATTGCTTTTCCATCTGCAACAAGAGAGAACATTTTCAGTGAAGTCCTTATCAACTCTACTTATTATCCTCTTTATGTGCTATCATTGTATTCATTCAACAAAGGATTTAGTTCTTACGGAAGAGTCAGCTAAAGGCTCAGATGCTAAAGGACTACGAGTATAATGTAATTCTCAAGTATGAATCCTGGATAAAACCAATGGTTCGTTTAGTTAGAAAGATAGTGGGAGATACAAAACAGTTTAATAAAATCTAACAGGTCATAACCAGATAACTAAGTACGTACGTTACGGCAAGCAGGAGCATAAACGCGGCGTAGTGGAAATAAGTATAATGAGAAAAATATGGAACAAAGACAATGTGGCGCGTATCCGTGATACTTTAACATAAAAGCCTGAACATAAACACACAATTGCACATTAAATTGCTCGCAAAATCTTCGAGTAAAAGTATTGTGCCGCGAGTGATATAAATGAACGTTAGCATTATTTACCAGTAAATGTGAATCTGTGTGTCTAAACATTATTTTTAACATGTAAGCTTGGTATGGCATTGTTTCTCTAGCATAAGTCAAAGCAAAAGCCATTGCCTGCATTTCATTAAAGGCAAAGGATTTTATTGCACTCAAAGTTTTTTTAGTTGTAGACACATTTTCGCAAATCGCACGTAAAGTTTCCTACTAGTATAACTTAAAAACTTCCTTTGTGAGAGAGATCCTCAAGAGTACGGTGTATAATAACAGAAATAGTTGATTCAATGCTCTCTTAGGTACTTTAATTAACGGACCTTTACCGAGTCAATGCTTCTGAAAAACACTCGCTAGCCAAATTTTGATTGAAACGGGTTTATTTACACGGTGTCCTATGTCCCGCCATGTTGCCGGCGGCGTCGTTTGCATGTTGTTCCGCAGGTTTATGGTTATTAAAATCGGGGTGAATTTTCAAGTATTTTCGTACTGTAAGCCGCGTTTTGGAATAACAGATGAATTATCGGTCATGATGCTAACGGCACAAAATAAGCTAACGGTCAGGGATGGGTTTAATTGTGGAAGCGGAATCTTTTAGGTATTTATCTTATGGGTGATATTTATCGTTTTGAAGTTACTGGCTTCTAAATGCTACGTCGTTTGAATAGATTGAAGTGCGTGCTTACTAGGCCAAATAGAAAATTAGGCTACTACCTGGATGAAAGTTTTGACGTTTTGGTCTAACCTTAGGTATGTTATGATTCATGAAACAGGCATTATTAAAGCATCATTAAAATACACCATAGTAATTTAGCTTGACCGACATAAAGCAATAATTTGGACGTACCTACGTAAATTCAAAACATTTCGATAACACAAATTAATGTGCGAATTTAATGTGTACACCCGTCCAAATGTTCTAATCCCGAACCCTCATAAATACAGACTGCGGGTAAATAAACAATAACAGTTACATCACTAAACAAGCCTAAACAAACGTCCCTAATCTGGGAACAAGGTATATTGGGTATAGGACAAGAGTATGCAATTATACCCCGTCCCCAAATACTGTTGGGACATCACCATGATGTACAGTCGTCTGTACAGTCTTCGACCTAGGGTTGCCAGGTCCAAAAACACAAAAGCGTCATAGCTCTTGCGTGGGTCTATCATCTTTGAATGAACATTATTCTGTGGCTCGAGTTTTGAATAGCGCGGCAGCCACATAAAAAGCCTAACTAAAGCCGGACAGGCCGGAAAAGACAATATTTGGCCGGACAAGCCCCTAAAAAGCCAAACATGTCCTCCTGACTCCTGGCAACCCTACTCCGACCATAACATTTCCAACTGATTTTGAACTCAATAACTTTAAAGTTAAAGTATAAAATAAAATAAATAGGTGAATTATAAATTTTGTTAGGTCAATATGCCATCGACTATGTAGTGATAATGTTAGTAGTACCAGTAGTACAGACACCAGTACAATTACATACGAGGATAATCCGAATCCATCGATGCCTGTATCATCAGACTGCCGATTCAAGAGCCGGTAGTTTGTTCCTCGTCTTCCGAAACTTGTGGTGAGTCGCTATTATAATTCCTATCACAATATTTAGCAGCTGGAGGGGTTACCGGGAATATTAGTATAGTATAATAGTTTTATTAATCATTAAATGAAATGAAAACCTTACAAAATTAATTAAATTCTCCCTACATACAGTATTAAACTTGATGTGCCACTGCCATAGTACCTAACCCATAGTACGTAGCCCATAACTTTTTGTAGAGCGACTCCACTCATAGAAGGCTGTAAAAGGAATCGTCTACGGTCAATAGATAAATGGCATCAATTAATGGCCCCATATCGTTCGCCCGCCAATTTTCCCTTTTCCGATTTTCCCTTTCCGATTTTCCGCGGCTCCCATTTCACACGGGCGGAATGTTGACATTGCATAATTAATAAGTGGATGTCGTTACACGCGCGACGTTTAATTTAAAAACATTTGCCGAATTGAAAATGTGATCCGTGTGTTTATACGCACTAATTACACGTCACCAACATCAAACGAGTCCAGACAGAAAGAATTAAAACGGAGGGTGCAGTTACTCAATGTTTTGCACACTTTACACTTTCATCTTCAGGATCTACTTGGCTTTGGAATACAGTACCTAGTGAAATTTGAGATGGAAGCGATTCACCCTGCCCAACCGTGAATCTCCAATTTGTACTTTTAAATTGGCTTCCAAATCGATGTTTACTTGATTTGAATTAAATATTACCTAAGTGTATGTAGAGTTTACAAGCAAGTTACATCACAGGCTCATATTGCTATCAAAATCTATTGAAAATGCTATCGTTTTGTCTTCACACTTTTCAACAATGGATTGGTGGCATAAGTACATACATTACACAATTATGGGATTAAAGTTCACGAGGGCTTTTTGTGATTCTTATAAAATAAGCGTAGAGTTATGAAAGAATGTCTAGCATAAGTTTATAATGTTTGTTTACAAATTATATTATATCTTTGGTTCATTAAACACAGTTATCCTCGTAAATTACGAACACGTTCGGTTAATCTTGCCCCAAACGGAACAGTATCTTTTGCCCATCTGGGTCATACTTGAAGGGGGAACAGAAAGCTCTTTAACTAAGGCAATATCATTAGACTAGTATTTATTTAGCAAAACCTACGTCTTAACCGTTATTTTTTGGCGCTTTTGTGATGGTCAATATAAATGTAGTGTTAGGTATGTGATAACAGCTTGTTGAACTTGAACGGAAGTTTTTGGTTCAAAGGGCGTTTGGAGTGTGCTTCCTAACTGATGAATATTTCAACATTTAGATGTCAATTTGGTTGAAATTGATAAATAGAATGATGTTCTTTCGGTGACGAGGCAACAGAAAGTATTATGCAATTCCATTGCTTCGTCAGCAGTGCCTTGCGCTGCCTACCTTTTTTCGATAATGTAATTTCATGAGATACGTTATGAAAGTTATTTTTGCAAACGTTGGTCACAAGGCGTGCACGTTGTTGTAACGTATTCGCTTTTAAAAGGCAGTATGGACCCACTGTACCCCATAACATTGTGTTAGAACCCGGAGATAATAAACCCAGCACACTAGCGCCATCGAGCGCTAATGGTACTATCAATTAAACGTGCTTGGAATCGCCGATTGGGTGCCCATTTACTTCGACCTTCCTGTTTTTGTAGGAAGGTATGGTGCCATTAATTTTATCTTGATCCTATTTTTTTAGCTATTGGTTTGCTATTTTGTTGGTAAGAATGTAATTTTATTAGTCTAGCTAGAACATACGTGAAAAACCCTCTTAAAAAATTACATGTTTAAACTTCTTGGAATACAGAGTCAAGTGGAGGAAAATATAACAAAGATTGAATATCCTTTTATAACAAACAGAACCTACCAAAACCAAATGAATTTCTAAGTAGGAAGTAGGTTTTTTATTATGACGGAAAATTTAAACAAGACGCAAAGATGCTGACTTTTCTCTGTGAGAAGTCAGAACTGTAATAACGGAAACGTCTGTAAAATTAGAATAAATTTTTATTATTATTTATATAGTAAGGTACATACGAGTAGTATGCATAAGGATAACTTTAATAACAGTGGCTGTTAACGGCACTCGACTGCCATTTAAAGACAAATCGGCACTAAACATAACTGCAGATTACACTCTTGAGTACGAAGCGATTAATTAAGCTTGAAACCTGTTAATACCGCTGCGGGGAAGGTGGAGGGAAGATACTGGAATCGTCAAGTAACAAGGACAGCCGTAAACGTGCTGGATCGACGCAGGTTTCTATTTAGAATGATTCAGTAGGGCGACCAAACTTACGGTAGTTGTAGGAATTTCGCCCCATTCGTTTTTAAGGTTCAGTCAAAGCAACGCGATCAGCCGGCGTGCAGCGATGGCGATCAGACTTACGAGTAAATGTTCGCCATCGCTGCACACCGGCTGATCGCGTGTGATCGCGTTGGTGTGGCTGAACCTTTACAGGTTTTAGTATGTGTAATATTTGGGTATAAGACTAAACTGATGATATTACTAGTATGTTTACCTTCAATGCATTTCAAAAGAAGTGTTGTATTTTTTTTAATATTCCGAGAATTACCAGTGTCGTCATAGCTCAGTTAGTACGGCAAGCGAAAGATCGTGGATTCAATCCTACCATTTGATTATAACAGATCATGATTAACTTAAATAAATTCCAGAAAGACGTGTCTACTTTAAAATGGTTGGATATAACTGTTCATAGAACTATTCAATAACTTGTCTAACAACTAGATAAAATTGTCTTCATTATTCCCCCAATTACTTCAATTATGGTCACCCCAGCATCGAGTATTTTACTCCAACCAGTTTCCTATATGCGGCGCAACCGCAACGGGACGCATTTAATTCAGTTGAAATATTAATTGGGCGAATTAAAACTGAAATTACGGTTTAATTAAGGCATAATTGTTGGTGAAGGCGGCCGAATGCTTTGGTTTGGTTTATCACGTGTTAATATGGTTACAATTCACACTTGTGTGTTGATTGGGCATATCGTATCATGTTTGTTTTATTTTTTGATTGGACTATTCAAGCTACTGTAAATTGAAGAATTAATAAATGAGATAAAACACAGCTTGCTTTTGGCAACCGAAAATATTTTATCTTTTTTTTTATTTCAATAATTTTTATCGTAATCTCAGAATTTACGAATATTAAACTTATACTCTCTCTTACGAGTACGAGTATGAATACTTATGTATTTTTTATTATATTGAAGAAACGACTCCGGCGCACAACGCGGCAAAGAGAAATCACATGAAAATATCGACCTCAGTATCTGGCAAGAAAGACTCGTAGTGGGTTCAAGTCCTACCTGAAGCAATTAAATATTATGAAATAAAATTCAAGTATCCTACTAATCCTACTAATATTATAAACGTGAAAGTTTGGATGTCTGGCTCTGACTCTTTCACGCAAAAAGTACTAAACGGATTTTGATGAAACTTTAGGTACCTACAGCATTGTTGTTTATAGCCCAGAATAACATAAATGCTATAATTTATGACGATCTGTGACAAACGAAATTTCACGTGGGTGAAGCCGCGGGCAAAAGCTAGTTTATTCATATTTCATGATAGAAGGAACGTATTTCTACTTATCCAGTAGCTAATATTAAACATGCAACGATATGCGATCGAGAAGTCCCGCAGTAACTTTTACAAACGCGTCTTGGGACTCGTTAAACGTAAATGGGAAATATATTGGTGCTTAAGTGATTATTACTAGAGATGAAACGGATAGTTGTTTGGCCGGATACCGGATACCGGATATCCGGCCAGCTGCTAGGCCGGATAGCCGGATATCCGGCGGCCGGATAGTTGGCCCATTGTCTCGTTGCATGTCGTGACGAGTTTAGCGCCGCACAGGTGCTTCGAACGCGATCAGTGGGTCTATTAGTAGACAAGACTAGTCACACTTTTCGAAAAGCGAATCCATCCGAATAGAATGTCAGATTTTGCCACTTGTCTTGGGGGCAGATCAATTCGGCCGATTTCGGTTGCTATCGTGAGTGTGTGATTGAATAGCGAAAATTAAATTAGTTTACTTGTTGCGTAATCGGACTGAACTGCATGCATCATGTCATCAGACCATCAGTGAAAAAAAGATCGCCTTTATTATTTGGCAATATTTCGTTCGACATTAACAGATACATATTTACTAATTTATGTATTCGTCATTAGTGTGAATAGCTCAGAAAAAGAAATTAGTTTTTTGAAAGGCCTTTATATGGCTTTTTTGTAACTTTTTGGACTTTAAATAAAAGCCGTCATTATTATAAGCCATTTTATTGATATTTATTTACCTCAAAGATTAATGTATTTCATTTTATTTTAGGAAATTGTCGTAGTTTTTTAATATCCGGTATCCGGCCGGATAGTGAGTTACTATCCGGTATCCGGCCGGATAGTAAATTTAGGCCGGATATCCGGCCTACCGGATAGTTACCGGATATCCGTTTCATCTCTAATTATTACCTTGTGCGTCAAGACTTAAGGTGAATTTAAATAGGTTTAAAAGCCAGTAATAGACTCAGGTGGATAGGGTTGAGATAGTTTCTACACTTGCAGGCACTTTAGACTTTCTAACATCATTATTCAACTAGTTTTAGTGCCTTTAGCCTCCTAAGGAGCGCCATTTTTTTTTTCACCAAGCTATTTTTTAGGTCTACTTGAATTAATGTTGGTGCGCAATAGTATGATGTTACGATGTGATAAGAGTCCCATCATCATGCCTGTATTGTCTCTCTTAAAAACCCTTTGGGCGGATTTTAATCAAACACTATACGTTAGCTATAATTTCCAAATAAGAACGGAATTATTAATACTTTCAGCAAATAAAGTCCCTGGCGTCCGTAATTCATAGTTCCTTTATCTTAATCGTACTAACCGCCGAGTTACTACCCTACACTTTTTGAATTACCTACTTAATTGTTATTTAAAATGCCCATGTACGTAATTTTTTCATTCAACAAAATGTATTTTTTAAGCTTTTATTGCCAACTGGGCAGACATTGTGTCGTACACTTACACCCTTCAACGTCGGACGCCCCGTGGGTAGATTAATGGTCCCTTGACACGAACATTGTATGAATTTTACGCGCATATAAGTTACTAGTAAAATAAATAATATAATTTTTATCCGTAGTAATATTTTTGACAAGCTATTCAAAAACATTTTGAGTGAAATATGAAGGCAATTAATTACGTAGAGTTACAAAACTATTACGCGGCTATTTAGGCTTTTAAAGTTTGTTACAGCATAAAACAAAGGGTTACCTTTTCTTTTAGTAGACTTGAATGATGACCTCCGTGGTTGTTCAAATCATTTCCACCTGAAACAATAAAATAAATATGACGTTACGACACTTGTAGCTGTTTGTGTAGTGTAGTAAACTACACTTACTTAACACTAAAACTATAAAATGCTGTAACTGACAGTGACCATCGCTAATTAAAAAACAATTACCTAACTTCTTAAATAGAGCTTGCACGACATATAAAGCTATACAGACAGGCATCTTATGATGTACTTATTTAGCAACAAAAATACTTATGTATCTTATAATGTGCTATGTTGTGTAGTGTACCTACATCGATTAAACAAACTGTCAGCAAAAAAAAGTTTAAGTATTTATTTTAATTATAACCTTTACCAAACATTTCTTTTTAATATCATGTTGCAGCACATTATTTACACCAGTATTTATATTAAAAAACAAACAAAAGCTCATCTTGACAAACGAGCTGCCCTGATAGCAGGGTCTAACGATGATGGTGGATTAATGACTGCTTAGCGCGGCCCACTTAATTATGCATATCTAAACGACTTGTTAACTTAATTAGATCGTGCATGTAAAGAAACGTGTTTATTGTTGGAAGAAAATTGAGGTTATTTATTTTTAATTAACTTTACATTGTTGGGATCTTGCTTTCTCTATAGTAGAGATGAAACGGATATCCGGCAACTATCCGGTAGGCCGGATATCCGGCCTAAATTTACTATCCGGCCGGATACCGGATAGTAGCTCACTATCCGGCCGGATACCGGATATTAAAAAAACTACGAAAATTCCTATAATAAAATGAAACACATTAATCTTTGTGACATCTGAAATTTTAATTACCTGAATTACCTAATTGTTTTAATTGATATTGTAATTGCATTGTAATAAATATTTTTGACATTTGAATTCTATTGGAGGTAGATCATGTAATATTAATAGTGACTATTAATAATTTAATAATAATACTGCATGACGACTAAATGTTTGCATATCGCTATGTCGATGAAACATGTTGTTCTCGTAACAAGATAATAACTGAAATGTACCATGTTTTATGCAAATAAATAATTTGAATTTGAATAATTTGAATTTGAGTCAAATATCAATAAAGTGGCTTATAATAATGACGGTTTTTATCTAAAGTCCAAAAAGTTACAAAAAAGCCATATTAAGGCCTTTCAAATAACTAATTTCTTTTCTGGGCTATTCACTCTAATGACGAATACATAAATAGTAAATATATTTTAATTCCCATTTATTGTCCTGAAGCAGTGGTAGGGTTAATACTGGGACGTGTAAAAGTGCTTTTTTAAGCCTATTTACAGAAATAAATTAGTTTTAATGAGTTTTTAGTTTTTTAATGTCGAAATATTGCCAAATAAAATAGGCGATCTTTTTTTTCACTGATGGTCTGATGACATACAGGGTGACTTTGAAATCGTTGGCATCCTTTTAATATAAGACTACTCATGATACATGGTGCATTCCCCAAATAGTTTAGGCTTGGGCCAAATTCCGTGCCGCTGAGTGTATGAGACAACTCCAATGAGATTTTTTGTCATTAATTTAACTATGTCTTTGTATTAGTGTGCTCTAAAAAAGAGTTTAAAACTATTGTACAGCACATCATCCTATATATTTGTTGCAAAATAACACTTAATACATTGAAATAAGATGCCACAATATGAAGATTGATGTTCTGTCGTCTGTACAAGATTTCAAATATTGAAATTTTAATTCATTTGATATGACTCATATTTGGGGAATCATGAGTAGTCTTATTTTAAAAAGAATGCCAACGATTTCAAAGTCACCCTGTATAATGCAGTTCATTCAGATTACGCAGCAAGTGTACTTATTGAATTTTCGCTATTCAATCACATACTCACGATGGCAACCGAAATCGCCCGAATTGATCTGCCCCTTAGACGAGTGGCAAAATCTGACATTCTATTCGAACGAATTCGATTTTCGAAAAGTGTGACTTGTCTAGTCTACTAGACCTACTGATCGCGTTCGAAGCACCTATGCAGCGCTAAACTCGTTACGACATGCAACATGACAATGGGACAACTATCCGGCCGCCGGATATCCGGCTATCCGGCCTAGCAGCTCGCCGGATATCCGGTATCCGGTATCCGGCCAAACAACTATCCGTTTCATCTCTACTCTATAGGTACTTTAGTGTTAATTAAAACAGCTTGCTTTGAAGTTTGTTGAATGGCAATAGAAAATAACAAAAGTTATAGGGTTTTACAATGCAGTATATGATTTTTTAAATAAATAAATTTTGGTGCTTGAATCAAAACAAAAACATAGGAGTGTGTTTGATGCAGCATGCAGCTAAGATTTCAAAAGCACTTGCTTGATATAAATCACAGTCGGAAGAAACTTTATGGCTGTATCAATAAATTCTTAAGTTCTGTTTAAGGCGTCCGCCGCTCTAAATCTCAAAAACTACCGCAATGATTTATAGGGAACTTTAACGTGAATTGGGAGAACAAAATATTTAAAAAATCCATCGTACATAGAGATAGAGGCTAAGTTGCACCACCAAACTTTACCGGTGTTTTTTGTATGGAGTTTGACAGATTTTTGACGTTTGATACAGTCAAAGTAAGTGGTGTAACCCAGCCAGAGTCCACCACCACAACACCAAACACCACGAGTGTGCAAACGCACAGCGATACAATTTCGTTTATAATTTTAGTTTCATCAATCGGAACACTACCAAAACCTAAAAAATAAGTACCTATGCTTCGTGACTATGTCAGGTAGTTAACGGCTATTGAAACAAGAAGTTTGGATATAATATTTCAGTAGATGTTAGTTTTTCTTTGGCATAATTAAGTATTATTGGATGCATTTCCAGTTCACAATTCTTGTCAGTTTCAAAGAGCAGACTAAAGGCGTCCTTATCTCAAGATCCTCTTTGTTTCAGAAGGAAAGGAACCTAGTAAAAACCTTTGTCCAAGCCACCTGACAGCTCGTGGTGGAGAGCCCTTGAGTGCGTGTACGCCTCAGGCGCGATGCGAGGAAATTACACCTCGCGTGTTATGGTAGCCTGGTATTTTGAAGCCGAAGTTATACTTTTGATTTGTTTTTTATGAATGGACAGTATTGGGCAGTCTATAAAATCAAGTGTAACGTAATTTGAGAGCTGAGAAATGTTTTAAAAAAGCGAAGCAAAGTAAGTCCACGTTCCACTATAAGGCACTGGCCACACTCCAGCTGTGGGGTGGCTCAGGCCAATAAAGACTCAAATGATGTAAGTTTTTTAAGCGTAAGTAACCATACGTCGCGCGAGTAACGCTAATTTATTCGCATATAATGAGATAATGTGCTACACTTAGTAGCATCAAAAACACCAAATAAACATGCTATAGCAAAAGCACTTTGAAGTTCCCCGAGTCGTACGTAAAAAAATCCTTTGCATTTCGCCCCTTTCTTTTTATTAATTTTACCGCATTAAAAATCTGGTGACAACCATTAGAGGGCCTCGAGATAAGGGTGGCACTAAGCACTCGACAGTCGTGTGAAGGGCGTATGCCCGCGGCGTCTTGTCGCGAAAATGATATCTCCCGTTAAGAAACCCTAGTTATTTGTTTTGCGTATCCAGTGAGACCTTTAGAGGCTTTGTAGTAGTTTGTAGCAATGAATTTTATTATAAACATAACAATATAACAATGTTTCAATGCGCACAATTAAATAGAGCATATTCCTTCCCATCAATTCAAACATTTTCAAGTACGCATCTCCTGTTCATTTATACAGGGTGTCCCAAAATTAGCACATCACACGGACACTGAGGTAGTTGGGCCTAAGACGCATCGAAAAAGTCAGCCTTATGTCCATAGAATGACCAATAGTTTGATGAGTTTTGATTAATATGACTGATAATAGTTACTTTTCAAAATGGACTTACGCCCATATTCACAAACGATGCTTGCTTCAGTGAAGCAGCAAATCGAACGCACAGCGTTGAAGAGAGCTCTGTGATTGGTTCGTGTGTGACCCTGTGCGTCCACGCGCACTGTGAGACCTCATAGTAATGTTTGTGAATACGGGCGTTAATATACTTGTTCGATGCATCTCAGGGTCATCTACCTCTGGTGTAAATGTGACGTGCTAATTTTGGGGCACCCTGTCATCATGACATGTAGATAAGTACAATGATGTGACGACTGACGACTGATGAGTGCTTCTAAGCTTGCCAAAGCTCACGCATTTATTATGAAACCATCCGAAATAATGAAACGATTGAAGCATTCACGATTCACATTTTAGACAGGCTTCGGCGTAAGTGGTAAAGCGGGAGAATCATACAAAGCGTACACCTTGCAACCGAAGTGAAGCATTTGAGGCTCTATTTTGACGCATCAGCACATAGACATAAGGATAACATTGTACCGTACTTCGGTTGTAGTGTATGCGACATGACAGTGCCATTACTATTGCAACGAATGCACAGCGTTCGCGAAACCGGCACTTTAATAACAATGCTCCTTTTGACAACGACATGTTTGAAGTTCATTATAACATGGCACTCGCTGCATTTTGATTTTATTACTATTATATTTTAGACAAAGACTATTCATAAGTCCAGTCTTCATATATGAAACAGATACTGTAAAGTGAACTTTTAAGAAGCATTTAAAGTTATTGTGGCTATATTTATAAGATCTTTTGTGACACTTAAATCACAAAGAACTGAACAGTTTCGAAAAATTCTGGATCTTCCCTCACGAATTCTGAATTATTTATCCTCGAACCCGTAAGAAATTGAATATGACTGGCAAATATCAATTTAATTTAAAGCGATTTCTTTTCCTTAAACCAATAAATGTATTATGAGTTTGTACATCATAAGCTTTTTTTTTTATTAATCCAATCATACAATGACATGTGGTTTCACGTAGGTACATGAAACAAAAATGATATGCATACTTAGGTATAACATTTGTTAAATTATTCATACATAATTATTTATTATGTAAAGTTGTGTTGTTGGTAGATCTTTGTCAATAAATAAATAAATAATAACACAA